TGGATGGGTGAGTGGGGTGAGTGAGTGGGTGATACACAGATCACACGTGAAGGCACGATTACGGTGAGAAGTACTTGACGTTGGCGAGTGCCTTGACGCGTGCGGCGGCGAGGAGGGACTGTGCGGCGATGCGGTGGCTTGAGGGCGAGCGCAGGTGGGAGCGTATCCTCAGGACGTCGAGGCGGACGACGGTGATGTGCAGCAGGTAGAGGAGCGAGAGCGACCAGAGGGATAATAGTGTTGTCATGAAAGGCCATCTGATTTTGAATCTGGAATTGTTTTAAATACCAATTTGGCAAGCACATATTCGTCCGCTACTTTATTGTTCAGAATATTTTTCAGTGCATCGCAAAAATCTTTGCATGTTCTCTTGTGTCTCGATTCCTTACCTTCACCGGTGAGTCTGTAGGCGCTATTGAACATTAATCCATATTTGGTCAAGGTTGGCAATGTGAGGGGACACTGAGCGATGGATTTGCAATCCTTATGGTGGTTATGGTTCTTATAATTTGGCTCCGGTACAGTTAACTTACACTCGTTAGCACAGACATTGCCGTTGCATTTAGATGCTGGTGATGTGCAGTTGGTACAGCATTCGTCACGCAACTGACATAGCATGTTGTAGAACGCTTCGGTAATATACACGACACATGAGAGGTAGAAGCTTCTAAAGCACTCACTGTACATGTTATAAATATAGAAGCTTAGTGAACTTACGAAAAACCCGCATGTATCTTCCAAGCTATACGGGCATTGGACAATCCTGAACAAGTCACCTTTTTCGTGGGTAATATGCTTGCCGCTATGGCGAGTGCTTTCGAAAATTGATATGAGATTAAACTCGAAGGTCGATCCGAAACATGCTTCCTTGACTGCCTTTTCAAATGCGTCATGTTTATGCTTCTTACTAAGGGTGTCTTTTCCTTTGTCACCTCCTTCCCAGTTCTCAAGGTAGCCATAGTAGAACGCAAACATGTCTCCCAGGGTTTGAGGTGGACGTTGCATGAGGCAATTTACTATGCCGCAGAACTTACTGAGGTGAGATTTTTCTTGGCCACAGAAACTGTGAAGCACCTTCTTGAGAAATTCACCATTTTTAGTATGTGACGCTGTTACACAGATGTCTCCAAATCCCATAGGCGTCTTACACGGTAACCCCCTGTGCTTACCAACTGAACATTCTACTCCACAGCCAAGCTTGGTAAGGGTATGTGGAAGGAAACCTTGTAAGCCGTCTTCGAGGAACGACTGGAGTGGCGATTTCAAACCGCACTCAACAGTTTGGTTACACTTTTGACTACATGTTTGGTTATGCTTTTGTTCACCTATTTGGTTGTATGGTTGGTCTGGACATTGCAGGGTGTTGCAGTTCCACGATGAACCGGCGACTCCCCTGCCGTACCAGCAGTCCGCCCAGCCACCACGACTAGGACCGTTCTGACACTGGCTATATAGGAAACGCATTTGATTATATACCCTAGATGATATTTCTAACAGTAAGTCAAAGCATTTAGCTGGGCTGCTTGGATAATCTAAGTTATCTGTATTAGTATTAAACTCGACGGCGTACCGGCCACCTTCGTGGCCGTGACCGAGGATTGCGATTAGAGAGTCTTGGGCGTAGGCACACGATCTGCCAAGTGCATCTATTAGGTGGCTAGGCTTTAGAGGTGATTGAATTGTGTCGCTCATTCTGGGATGCAGCGCGGCTGGTAATTCGGCGCTCGGCAAGTTATACTGTTTCTGTAGGGCAGTGAATATTTTTGTGAAATGCCCTGCAGCTTCTCATACATGGGATTATACCGCAGGCCACTAAGCCATTCAAGCATTTCGTAGATGTTGGATGGTGACTTCGGTGAAGGGATATGAATATGCTGGCATACTTGGTAATACTGTTCAAGGTGATCGAAGAGCCTTGATAGAAGACCTTGATGTTTACTGAAATGGTCCATGCAGTCATTGACTGAGTTGAATTTATCTGGATACTCACTAAATTCTTGGTGCTTTTTGAATGCTTTAGCCAATCTGATTGAAACATTCCAACCGGTGTTGTCTTTGGTGATAAGGTTCACGACGTCGTAACCCGAGTTGTGCAAGAACTCTTTGTATTTTGTTTCATTCCCTTTGCCTTGGATTTCCTGCGATCTCCATTTATGACCGCCGTGGTAATACACATTATACAACTCATTGAAGAGCGTCCTCACACAGGTCAAAAACACCTTCGCGCCGTTTCTTCCGTCCTGCGTCAGGATCTTATTATCAGAGCCATCTTCCTTCTTGGGACCATCAGCCTCCCACTCCTTAATCGCCGTCGCACCGTCATACCTGCTGATGTACGCCTTGTTTAGCTGTTCAACAAATTTCCTAAGCCCTTCTGTGAGGCCGTCAAGTATAGCAGTGTTAGGGTTAGAGAAGCCATTTGGAGTGAGGGCGTTAATTGCTGATTGTACTGCTGTAAGTTTACTAGGTAGCTGATAGTCGTATCTATTCGTACTGTGAATGTGGGAAGTTAGTGCGGTAAGTGCAGAATAAATGGCAGTAAGTTTGTCACTGTAGTGAGCTTCTTCGGTTGTAGTTTTCTGATTCTTCTCACATTCTTCCTTGTGAAGTCTCTTAACCTCTGCTAGGAGATATGTGTGGAGTGGCGCATAAAATCTTTCGAAGCCATTGCAGAGTGATTGTAGATCGTAACCATTCTGAAGCCTCTTGATATTAACATCAGATGTTTCATTACCATTAAACTCCCCCTGCACCTTCCTCATAAACCCCTTGAACCCTATGCGCAGGTCCTCCTCGATCGCGGCGGGCAAGGCCTGCAGCTCCTGCGTGGCCTTCGCAGCGAAGGCCTTGAGCAGCGCCTTGACGGAGGTGACGTAGTTGCGGCGGGCGCGGGTGGTGAGGTAGAGAATGGTCTCGTTCACCTGTTGGGTGACGTCTTCATTGAGTTTGTTGATGGTTGAATCGCGCAAGTGCTCGGCATTTTTAAGGAAGTTCTGAGCGTCTCTAGCGGGACCATCAAGCAGCGTTTTGTACAGCCTCTTGAGCTCATTCTTAATTTCGTTCATACCTTTTTGGTCTTTGTTATTGATTGTCACTTCAACATTATAGAGCAATGTTTTCAGTCTTTCCAATCGATCATTAACAGCAATTCCTGTATGCGAGAATGCTTCCAATAAAACGTTGAGGTTGTCCTTTATTTTCTGCGAGAAATCTGTGAGCTCAGCATTCGCATCATTTACAGTGATTTCCTTGGCTTTGTTGATAGCGTTTGTAACCGCGTCGTCAACCTTACTTGTTTTGTAAGTATTATATTGGGTCGCGGCTTGGGCAAGATTTATGTCTTTGCCATCACCAACAACACCCGAGTGCGTCTTTTTAAATTGCTCCTCAACTTTTCCCGAGAATTTTTCATGAATTGGATCCTTAATAGAAACGCTGTGATCGATGTTATAGGTGCCAGCGGTGGAGCGGAGGGCCGCCCCGAGTTCCCCGTCAAGCTCCCCGGCTTTACCATAGGCATCGTCCACCTTCTTGATCTCCTCAGCGTTCGTTCCAGTTAATGATTTCAGTTCGTCGGCGAATTGCCTGGCAACATGCGTCAGAGCAGCTAAGGTCGCTTCGATGGCGGTAGTGAGGAAATGGTTATCATAACCGTCTTTCTTATGTTCCGGCCCCTTCAAAAAAACTGTGTCAACCTGATCGGCTATAGTTTTTGCAACCGCGCCAATTCCCTTATAGGTTTGGTCAGCTACAATATCTTCAGCTTTCTTAAATTTTTTATCGAGCTGCTTGGCAAATTGTTCACAAACACTCTGTACGTAATCCAGATTCTTTTGTATGGTGTTTTCCGCCCTCTGTGCAAGTCTTTTGGCTGCATCAACAGCCTGTGTAATAACATCTCCCCTCAGCTGATTGGTTATTAAAGTTGCGACACTCCCCGTATGATCAGTGCTGATAGTATTCGTGCCGCGATCCCATTTGTCGTTAAACTTATCATCGTCATTACTTCCTACATACAACTTCATAGACTCTTTTACTACAACATCACTTTTCAGAATTTCATCAATCCATCTTTGCACCACGCCGCCAAACGTACTTGGCTCTTTAAAATTTGCGGCGTATGTATCCTTCACGTGTTCAACGAATCCCTGCAGGCCTTGGTCCTTAGACTTTCCCTTAATCAGCTTCACTTCGTTGTGCACTTTGGTGACATAATCCTTAGCATATTCGGTTACCGCAGCCTTAATCTTACTCCTTAACATCCCCAAATCTTCTTTAAGCTTATCTTCCAAACCGTTGACCTCAACTCTAACATGACCAGTCAATCTCGTAACATCCTCAATATACTTCCCAAGCCACTCTCCATACGACTTTAATTGCCCCGCTTTGCCATCGATGATTTCCCGGATATTTTTTCCGGGCTCCTGCATTATAATTGCATTAACATCATGCATTGTAGACTTGAAAATCATATCCGCCTCTTCAAGCAAATTCTCCATTTCGTGGACGTACGTTTCCAGCTGGTGATATATGTTGTTGAGCTGTCTCAGAATATCGGAAACTGCGCCTTTCAGCTGTTCGACAAGCGCAGTAACTTTAACACGAATTTTCTTATCAACGGCGCTTTTTAAAAACTCAAGGGCGCCTACAATGCTACTTTTCGTTGCCGTAAAGTGTCGTAGCTCCTTATCTGACAGCGACCTAAGTCGGCTAGCTGCATACCAAATATTATTTTTGGAATTAATTACACTAGTTTTACAGTCATTATTAAAGTCTAGTATCTTATTTTGTGCGCTACCTATGTGTGCTAGAAATGTCTCGGCGTGGAGTTTGCACTCCCTGAGAACAAGGTCCACATTCCTCTTGGCCTTCTTGAGCTCCGGATCACCTGCAACAAGATTATCATTTAAAATTTCACTCACCTGAGTTTGAAGACTCTCCATATTCCTCTGCATCCCAGTTATAATAGTTTTGACACTCTCATTACTCCCCTCCACTTCCTTATTATACTCCCCGACACCTTGCGCCACAGTCTCAATGACTCTCTTAAAACCATTATGACCTAAACATAATTTACCATTCAAAAGCTTCACAACGTTCTCATTTAAGTAATCTTTTCCTACTTTGTAAGGCTGTTTATCGTGGACATCTTTGAGCACGGAATGCAAAAACGCCATCACCCCGTCGCAGAGCCTGTCAAGGTCCGAGTACACGATGCCCTCGCCGGTGTATCCTTTCGAAGTTTCTTGGTAACCAAGGAACTTCTCCAAGCCAGAACACAGGTTAGTAAGTGAATCATGTGGATTATTATGCACATATTCAGGGTGATTTGGGGGAATTTGGGGAAAGGCGATTTTAGGTCAAGGAGGCAGTGAGGGGGTGAGGGAGGTGGGTGGAAAGGGTGAGGGAGGTGGGTGGAAAGGGTGAGGGAAGGAAGGGGCGAAAGAGGGCGACGAAGGAGGAAGAAGGGTGGAGAGGAGGCGATTTTGCAGGTGGAGGGAGAAAGTCGAAAATGAGGATTTGGGCGAAGGACGCCGACGGAGGAGGTGATGAAGGGGTGAAGGAGGAGGGAGCGAAGCGACCAGTGAAAGAGGAGGTGGGTGGGTGGTTGAGTGGGTGAGTGGGTAGGTGAGTGGGTGGTTGAGTGAGTGGTTGAGTGGGTGGTTGAGTGAGTGAGTGGGTGGTTGAGTGAGTGGTTGAGTGGGTGGGTGAGTGGTTGAGTGGTTGAGTGGGTGGGTGAGTGAGTATGTGAGTGGTTGAGTGGGTGGGTGGGTGAGTGAGTATGTGAGTGAGTGGGTGGGTGGTTGAGTGGTTGAGTAGGTGGGTGAGTGAGTGAGTGGTTGAGTGGGTGAGTGGGTGAGTGGGTGAGTGGGTGATACACAGATCACACGTGAAGGCACGATTACGGTGAGAAGTACTTGACGTTGGCGAGTGCCTTGACGCGTGCGGCGGCGAGGAGGGACTGCGCGGCGATGCGGTGGCTTGCGGGTGATCTCAGGTGGGAGCGTATCCTCAGGACGTCGAGGCGGACGACGGCGATGTGCAGCAGGTACAGGAGCGACAGCGACCAGAGGGCTAATAAGAGGTAGGAGAAGAAGTTGAGAAATGTTGAAGGATTATTTTAGGCACATTTTCAGGGCGATTTGGGGGAGTTTGGGGAAAGGCGATTTTAGGTGAAGGAGGCAGAGAGGGGGTGAGGGAGGCGGGTGGACAAGGTGAGGGAGGTGAAGAGGCGAAAGAGGGCGATGAAGGACGAAGATGGGATGAGGTAAGGCGATTTGGGAGGTGGAGGGGAAAGGTGGAAAATGAGGATTTGGGCGAAGGACGCCGACGGAGGAGGTGATGGAGGGGGTGAAGGCAGGGAGCGAAGCGACCAGTGAAGGAGGGAGGTGGGTGGGTGAGTTGGTGAGTAAGTGAGTAGGTGAGTGAGTATGTGAGTGGTTGAGTGGTTGAGTGGGTGGGTGAGTGAGTGGGTGGTTGAGTGGGTGATTAGGTGAGTGGTTGAGTGGGTGAGTGGTTCAGTGGTTGAGTGGGTGAGTGGTTCAGTGGTTGAGTATGTGGGTGGGTGAGTGGGTGAGTGGGCGGTTGAGTGAGTGGGTGAGTGGGTGAGTGAGTGGGTGGTTGAGTGGGTGAGTGGTTCAGTGGTTGAGTATGTGGGTGGTTGAGTGGGTGAGTGGGTGGGTGGTTGAGTGAGTGGGTGAGTGGGTGAGTGGGTGATTAGGTGAGTGGTTGAGTGGGTGGTTGAGTGGTTGAGTGAGTGGGTGGGTGAGTGAGTGGGTGGTTGAGTGGTTGAGTGGTTGAGTGGGTGGGTGAGTGAGTGGGTGGTTGAGTGGGTGATTAGGTGAGTGGTTGAGTGGGTGAGTGGTTCAGTGGTTGAGTGGGTGAGTGGTTCAGTGGTTGAGTATGTGGGTGGGTGAGTGGGTGAGTGGGCGGTTGAGTGAGTGGGTGAGTGGGTGAGTGAGTGGGTGGTTGAGTGAGTGGTTGAGTGGGTGGTTGAGTGAGTGGTTGAGTGGGTGAGTGGTTGAGTGAGTGGTTGAGTGAGTGAGTGGGTGGTTGAGTGAGTGGTTGAGTGAGTAGGTGGGTGGTTGAGTGAGTGGTTGAGTGAGTAGGTGGGTGAGTGGTTGAGTGGGTGGGTGAGTATGTGAGTGAGTGGGTGAGTGGGTGAGTGGGTGAGTTGGTGGTTGAGTGAGTTGGTGGTTGAGTGAGTGAGTTGGTGGGTGGGTGGTTAGGTGGTTGAGTGGGTGGGTGGGTGAGTGAGTGGGTGAGTGAGTGGGTGAGTGGGTGAGTGGGTGGTTGAGTGAGTGATTGAGTGGGTGGTTGAGTGGTTGAGTGGTTGAGTGGTTGAGTGGGTGGTTGAGTGGTTGAGTGAGTATGTGAGTGGGTGGGTGAGTGGGTGAGTGAGTGTGTGGTTGAGTGGTTGAGTGGTTGGGTGGGTGGGTGAGTGGTTGAGTGATTAGGTGATTAGGTGGGTGAGTGAGTATGTGAGTGGTTGAGTGGTTGTGTGAGTGGGTGGTTGAGTGAAGGAGGAGGTGGGTGAGTGGTTGAGTGGGTGAGTGGGTGGGTATGTGAGTGGTTGAGTGGTTGAGTGGGTGAGTGAGTGAGTGAGTGGGTGGGTGAGTGGTTGAGTGAGTGAGTGAGTGGTTGGGTGAGTGGGTGAGTGGTTGAGTGGTTGGGTGAGTGAGTGAGTGGTTGAGTGGTTGAGTGGTTGGGTGAGTGGTTGAGTGGTTGAGTGAGTGAGTTGGTGGTTGAGTATGTGAGTGATTATGTGAGTGATACACAGATCACACGTGAAGGCACGATTATGGTGAGAAGTACTTGACGTTGGCGAGTGCCTTGACGCGTGCGGCGGCGAGGAGGGACTGTGCGGCGATGCGGTGGCTTGAGGGTGACCTCAGGTGGGAGCGTATCCTCAGCACGTCGAGGCGGACGACGGCGATGTGCAGCAGGTACAGGAGCGACAGCGACCAGAGGGCTAACAATGTCAGGGAGAATGGCTCCCTGATTTTCCAGAGTAGTTCATCACACTGTTTAAATAGCTCTGTGAAATAGTTGGATTTTGTTACTTTACTCAACTGCTGTTGGAAATCGGAACATGTTGTTGCAAACTTCGATGCGTTCAATGAAAGCACATCGTTAAATGTGAATCCGTAACTATATAGAGTTGGTGCAACACCCTTGCATTTCACTAGGGAACTGCATTGACACGGATGTTCCGATTCACCGTGCTTTCCTTTTTTGCACTTATCGTTATAGAAACACACGTGGCACCCCCATTCGTGGCAGAAGATGTTCTTGAAAGCATCAAGCAAACATTCGAGGTATTGTTGAAATGCCCATGGGAGATATGCAATCCACGACAGATACAGAGCAGCATTTTTGTTGGCAAGGTACTTATATACATCGGAGCAAAGAGGCGATAGATAGGGAGCACTGTGAGAGTTTTTGCTGTTGCACGTACCAGACGATGTGAGACTAGTGATGTGCGTGTCATCGCAATTGGTATGGCCTTCTACGCCATGCCCATAAGCGTTGGTGAGAGCGTTCATAAGCTCTGTCGGCGGATCATAAAGTGCAATGGATTTATCGGTGATTGTGGATTCAATTACAGCTTTGAGACTCTGTACGCCATACCTAGAAGTATCAGCCCATTGGCCAACAAGCGACATGGCAAAACCAAAGTGCTCTGGGAGGGTAACTGGAGGTTTGGGGCCCAGGCAAAAGATGGATGAAAGATTCACGTTGGCGAAGAATTTCTTTATAATTTCGCATAGGTCTTTACCAGTTTTCGTTGACCCAGAAAAGGCTCTAAAGCCTAATGGTGTCAAACATGGCATACCATTCCTGGAAGTGGAAGGGCAGGTGGAGCATACCGACTTACATCCAACACTCATTAACTGATGAGGTAAGTGGCCAGGTAAACAGTCATTTAGATAGGACATTAAAGGCGAGGTTGGTTGGCAATTTGGTTGGCACGTTGGTTGGCATTTTGGTTGGCACGTTGGTTTAGTCGTTGGTTGGCTATTTGCTTTGTCAGTTGAATGGTCGGTACACGGCCACTTGGCGGTGGGAATATTCTTGCCGTACTGACAATCACGCCAACCGAAATGAGATGGACGGACTCCACATTGTTTATACAAGAATCTACATACCGGCAACAATCTACGCAATATGTCTAGAAGAGTGGACAGACATTCCTCGGCTGAAGCAGGGTATTTAAATTTAAGAGAGTTGTTAGCGAGGTCAGAGCCATATATGGTATCGGCGTTTCCAGTGCCAACAATGGTGGTCAACATATTATGTGAATACTTGCCGATGTTGGGAAAACTATATGCAACGGCATCTAACAAACGTTTCCGTAAATCGGTGTCACCTTTTGTGTCGTATGCGTTACAGTGTGCTGTGAGTTTCTGGAACACCGCGTTGTGCGGAAGTCCGGACAGCCAACACAGCATGTCGAAAATGCTGCAGGGTGTCCTACTGGCGGTGAATGTAGCTATGTGGCCTACTTGGTTATATTGGTTAAGGTGAGTTATGAGGCAATCGAAGATGTCAAAGACATTAAAGTTTGTTTTAGGTGATTTACATGTTGTTAGATGTATATTATTTTGTGCGCCGTTAATTGTCTCATTAAGCAGCTGATGAATATTCTGACCACTGAAATTATTCATCGGTAATTTCAACTCGCCGTCCTTAGAGTCCTCATTTTTGGCGACGTCGAAACCACAACGCTGTAGAAAGTTGCCGAGTGGATTCTCGTCGTGGCCATTCATTTCACATATTAATTTGCCCTGCCAGTCATCTTCACACTTGTAATGCAGCCTACATAGAGCGTCTTGAGCAATGTTTAAGATGGTGAGGAAGACTTTAGAACATTTCTCACCGTACTCCGTCAGCGTTATGATTGTGGTATTATTTGAGGGGGTTAATTCATATTTAGCGTCGATTAAGTTTTCCGTGAATTTCTGACTATCATACCTATTAACGTACGCGTGGTTCAACTCGCCGGTAACGCCAAGCATCCCTTTTTTCAGCGCGTCGAGCAATTCGGGATTCTGGTGGCCGGCGAATTTTGTGGCGGACAGGTTGGTAACAGCGTCGGTGAGTGCGGAGAGTTTTTGTTGGAATGCATAGTCGAAGTTGTATAGTTTGTCAGATGCAGAGAGGTGGGAGAGTAATTTGTTTACTGTTGCCTGGATTTCTTGAACTTTCTTGGACTCCTCGCTATTTTCTTTCTCTCCCTTCTTCGCCTTGCTCGGCGTCTTGACCTGATCGGTGGTGTAGGAGAGGAGGGCATCTAGGAGATACTTGGAATCCACGGCGACATCGCTAAAGTATGTTAGATTTTTGAAGATGACAGGTGATTTATTGTGCGGTAACCATGTTCCCATGTGATTTAGTAAACCTTTGACGCCGTTTGTTACATCGGTGTCAATTATACTTTTGATCTTTTTGGCCTGGCGTTCGGCTAGTTTGTGCAGCGCGGAGAGGTCGGCGAGTTTTTGGTGGGTGAAGAGGGAGCGGACCTCTTCCTTCACTATTCTGAAGGCGTCAGCAGATATGGCGAGAAGATTGTTTTTTAGAGTTTCTAAGGCTATATTGCTATTTTTACGCGCTGACAGGAGAGCTTCGTAAACGGTATCAATGGCATTTCGAAGATGCAAATCTGTGTCAACTACTGCTTGCAAAGTGGAACGAATTTTATTCTGGATTTCATCTTTCAGCTCATTCATAAGCTCCTCCGCCCTCTTCCTCCTCTGGTTGATTACACCATCCGGTTCCTCCTTTGAAATGCCATTAAGCTCAGTGAAGTGGGTTTCAATTTTTTTAATTTTCTGGTCAATTGACCCATGTTGGTCCCGCGTTATGTACGTGCCAAGTGTTGCGAATTGGCTTTTTAAATCACGCAAAACGGTTTTGACCTGGTTTGTTCCTTCTCCGTTCTTCTCGAAGAGTGCGATGTCCTCCGTCACCTTAACAAACGCCTGCGAAATTGCTGTTTGGGCGGCTCCTCTGATACGACCTGTGGCGTTAGAGTGGAAGGCGTTAACGGCGGCGTCAAGAGCGATGTGTGAGCTGGCGCCATTTCCAGCAATATCAGCGGTCAATTGAGTGAAAAGCTGCATTAGAGAACCGATTTCAGGCGACTCGGGCAACTTCTTTTTGCCGTATAGGGTTTCTTTTAGCTTTTGAAATTTCAAAAGCTTCGATTCAGCTCTTCGGACGGTCTCTAGATCTGCTGCATCCTTTACCACTTCGTGCGCCTGTTGCACCGCCGTCTTAAGTTGTTCGCCGAGTTTGTTGATTGCACCGCCTGCTTTGTCGACTGCATCTTTAACGTTCGATGCCATGGCATAACTTGCAGTCTTTAGATAAGTGTACAATTGTGTAATAGTATTAACCCCATCATTCAATTCATTTACAAGCCCTGCAATATCATTATTTATCGACGTTTTAACCTTAGTAATTCCTTTAATCTGTTCTAACGTCTTCTGATGCTTACTTAGTTCAATGACAGATTTTGATAACTTCCCAGATATATTTACTGACTGAATAATTTCCACACCTTGGATTACACTAGCCATCTGGTCTTGAAATGCAGCGCACGTACTTCCAAGTTTCTTGGACGTCTCGCTAATCGGACCAGTAACCTTTTGAAGCGCAGCCAAAGCCGTGCCAAGCTCCGACAACGCACATTGAACAAGAATATTCTTTTGGGGCGCTTTGTCCATACCATTTGTAAGCCCATTAATTCTTCCTCTCAAACTCTCCAAATCGCATTTTATGCCCCCTTTCACACTAGTTGCAAAAGTTGTAGACAGTGTCTCCAGTGTCTTCTGCATTGTACTGACCAGACCGGCAAGCCGCACCTTCTCATCATTTAGAGTGTTGTAAACATTGGCAACTTCTCTCTTTATATCGTCAAACGCACCAAGTATCATGTCTTTATAATTGCCGTCAAACTTCGCTAGATATTCTTGAGTCTCCTGCAACATCGACGTGATACGCCCAAATTGGCTGCTCTGCATATCATTAAGACATCTGATATTTCTAAAAGTTCCCTGATACTCACTCTCTAACATATTTCGCAGATACTCATAATTCTCAACAATTTGCTGCTCCACTCTTGCCGTCTGCGCACTCAATTCCCTGTCCACCTCCTGCACCTGCCTCCCAAACGCATCGTCCCACGCACTCTCATTCAGCGTTCTAACTGCACCACCAATATCATTCATTTCACTACGTACTTTATGTCTAAGATTAAGATCTAAGTCGTTAAGTTTTAGTTCTATAGTGTCTACAGTGTGCTGAATCTTGCCAATCGTCGATTGCCACCCCTCCAGCTGCTTCTTGAGTTCCTGTCCCGATCGTCCCGCAATTTCCTTGTAGTAATTCCCGTCACCTGCACCAGATGATAATTTAGTAATCAACTCACCTAATTTGTTCTTCACTGCTCCAGTCTTCCTGCCAACTTCCTCATTATAATTCCCCAACCACTCCTTCACCTTGGTGACAGACTCCGAAAGCCCAACACGCCCGGAGCCAATTTTAGATCGTAAAGTGGAGAGAACATTATCAAGTCTACTACCTGAATCAAGCATATTATCATAAGTTGTGACGTTTTCATCATTTTTCACTCCACTGAGAACACCATGAAGGAAAGACATCACCCCGTCACACAGCCTGTCAAGGTCCGAGTACACGATGCCGGTGCCGGTGTAATTACCATTACTGTGGCCGAGAAATTTTTCGAGGCCTGTGCAAAGGTTTTCTAAAAGCTTTTTAGGATTTTCATTATTACTGTCAATTTTATCAGCATATCCACAAAGCTCATTCAGTGTATCAAGAGACTTCTTGGAGGCTTCATGAGACTGCAGATCCTTATTAAGCTTGTCAATTTCAGAGGCATTTTGAGGAGTTTCATTGCGTTGTTTAGCATCTTTATCTGCTTTTTTAAGGCTCTCAATATCTTTATTAAGCTTCTCAATTTTCTCAGTAATTGCATCTTTAAGCTCTTTTAAGGGACCATCAAGACCATTTAACTTGCACTTAGAAAGGATTACAGTAAGATTTACAGGAGTATTTTGATCATCTTTAAGCTTATTTTTAAGTTTATTAAGCTTCTCATTAAGAGTGTTAATTTGATCACGATGATCATTACACCCCTTATCTCCGCAAGACGTTCCTAAAAGCCTAACAAGCTCATTTACATTGCTGTGCAAACCATTCAAAATTGCATTTTTTACATCTTCACTCCCACCAATTAAACCTGAAAGCTGACCAGCGAGCTGACCAAGAGAGATACGGCGGGCATCAATATCCTCCAAGGCTCCTTTTCTAGCATCCTCTGTAAGATAATGAACTTCATTATAATGGTCATTGTAGTTGGATTGAAGGTGGATTAAGGGAGAGTTAAAAGGAGTAAAAAGGGGATGAAATGGATTATTTTGAGGGCGATTTGGGGGAGTTTGGAGAAAGGCGATTTTAGGTGACGGAGGCAGTGAGGGAGGTGGGTGGACAGGGTGATGGAAGTGAAGGGGCGAAAGAGGGCGATGAAGGGGGAAGATGGGTTGAGGTAAGGCGATTTCGGAGGTGGAGGGGGAAGGTGGAAAATGAGGATTTTGGGTGAGGGACGCCGACGGAGGAGGTGATGAAGGGGGTGAGGGAGGGAGCGAAGCGACCAGTGAAGGAGGTGGTGAGTGGGTGGGTGGTTGAGTGAGTGGTTGAGTGAGTGGGTGAGTGGGTGAGTGGGTGATTAGGTGAGTGGGTGGGTGAGTAGTTGAGTGAGTAGTTGAGTGAGTGGGTGGTTGAGTGGGTGAGTGAGTAGTTGAGTGAGTGGGTGGTTGAGTGGGTGAGTGGTTGAGTGGGTGAGTGGGTGAGTTGAGTGTGTGGGTGAGTGTGTGGGTGAGTGTGTGAGTGGGTGGTTGAGTGGTTGAGTGAGTGGTTGAGTGTGTGAGTGAGTGTGTGAGTATGTGAGTGGGTGAGTGATTAGGTGAGTGATTAGGTGAGTGGTTGAGTGGGTGATACACAGATGACACGTGAAGGCACGATCACGGTGAGAAGTACTTGACGTTGGCGAGTGCCTTGACGCGTGCGGCGGCGAGGAGGGACTGGGCGGCGATGCGGTGGCTTGAGGGCGAGCGCAGGTGGTAGCGTATCCTCAGGACGTCGAGGCGGACGACGGCGATGTGCAGCAGGTAGAGCAAGGAGAGGGACCAGAGGGCTAACAACGTTAGCATAAATGGCCATCTGATTTCTTTCAGGAAATTGTCGCACTCCTTGAACAGCTTCTGGAAATATTGTGAATCAAGAACTTTCTTCAACTGACTGCAGAAATCCTTACACTTCTTCGGCGTCTTACCATCATTCAACGTCGACGCCTCGCCGAAGCTGAATCCATACTGGTAGAGCGTCGGTGCCACGCCTCTGCAGGATACTATGGAATCACACTGACAGACGTCATCTGGTTTCTTCTCATCCTCAACGACGCCATGCTTGCCACTCTTGCACTTGTCCCCTCTGAGACATCCACGGCATCCCCAGTCTGCACAAGTAATAGAGCAGAAGGAATCATATAAATTGTTGAGTAGATCCCAGAATGTCCATGGAAGGTAGATGGCCCAGGAGAGGTATGTGTTGGCATGCTTCTCAGCAAAGTAAGCATATGTGTCGCTGCAGAGTGATGCAACATATGGAGCGCACAATGCGTTTCCGACGGCATCATTACACGCTGGTGCCATCGCTAGACTAGACACGTCAGCGTACGCAGTAAGATGATCCTTGTCGCCATGTTTACCATGGGCATTACGATACGCATCACGAAGTGCGTCTGTGAGTTTTGATGGTTCGTTATATAGATCAATGGACACACTTTTGGCGGAATTTTCGATAACTGTTTTGAGTCCGTTACCGCCATTATGCGACCAGCCTTTCACAAATGACAATGCAAATTGGAAGTGCTCTGCTAGGTTGCTCGGCGGTTTGGGTGCAACGGAGAGCAGGGGTGAAGCTACACCGTTACCAAAGAATTTGGTCAGCACTTTGCATAGGTCTTTTCCTGTCTTTGTGCTTCCTGAGAAACCTCTAAAGCCGAGTGGTGTCAAACACGGCTGCCCAGGCGTGGATTTGGGGCAGGTGGCACATACCGCTTTGCAGCCGATAGCGCTGACCTGGTGCGGTAGGTGGCCGGGAAGACAGTCATTTAGGTAACTCATTAATGGTGATCTAGGTTGGCAATTTGGTTCTGTGTTTGCCTGGCACGTAGGCTGGCAATTTGGTTTGCTATTTGAGTGGTCACTACACGGCCACTTGGCTGACTTGACATCTTTGCCGTACTTGCAGCTGTACCAGCCTTGCTCGGACACCAAATTGGTACACTGATGATGCAAAAATCTAAATACAGGGAACATTCTACGAAGCAATTCAAGCAACATATTGAGGCACTCCCCGGCCGATGAGGGGAACGTGAAGTTAAGGGCGTTGCTGCGGTAGTCAACAGCGTACGTGGTGAACTCGTCGCCGTAACCTACTATGGTAGTCAGGATCACGGGAGCAAGGGACGTGACATGTATTATTGCAAGATGTATATCACTCTGCGCGATCTTTTGTGGATACGCCGCTAACGATAGGCTGCTTGGCTCTTCAAGGGATATGCCATCGAAGTCAATGCTGTCCGCTTCCTTTTTCTTCGGCTTGTCGAACAGGTGACTGAAATCATTCGTTGTTAAATCGATATACACTGGGTTATGTAGCAGACTGGTACACCAGGCAAGCATATCGTAAATGGAACACGGACGCTTCTTGGAGAAGGAAGTGGATAGGTGACACACAGCGTAATACGCTTGGAGATATTCGTAAACAGTTTCGAATGCACGTTTAGCATCTTTATCCGTGGCGAAAAGACAAGGGAAATTGCCGACGAGCCGTCCATAAATATGCTCACCCTTCATGCTGTTCTTGTACTGCAGCTCGCCATTTTGGGAGTCACGGTTTGTGACCACACGGTAGCCGCACGTTTGCAAGAACGTACCGAGACTGCTACCGGAATGGATCCGACGCGCATACCATTCGGAAAGGCATTGTGTTTTCAAATACGTCAGGTCCTCACTGATGATCTCCAGGATGGACAAGAACACCTTGGACATATTCTCACCGTCCGGGGTGAGCACTTGCTCAGCTGGTGTGGACGGTTCCTTTTGTGGTTTATCTTGCAACAATTTACTTAAATTTATTTGCTTAGGATGCCCGTCGTAGACGTTTACGTAGGCCTTTTCGAGCTCCGTGAACAATGCCGCGAAGCCTTTTTTAAACGACTCGAGAATATAAGGATACTTCCCCTCGCCGTATGCTTTGGGGCTAAATTCAGTGAGTCTGTTTTTAAATGTTACTAGGTTATTGCTAAAGTTATTGTCAAACTGTCGTGAACGCATAAGGCCATTAAGAATTTTTGTCAGAGCGTCTTTGGAAGGCGCAACTTTATCGTGGTCGGACATGAAGTCGTCCTGCTTTTGCAGGTCGTCGAAGAAAGATCGCAGAGCGGTATTTAATGTGGTGGCCGCCTCGCTTAGCGGCGACTTTGGTCTCCTGGATTTCCCTTCTGGTACGGGATTGGGAGATTGCGTTGGCGAAATGCTGGAAATTCTTCTAGCTGCCTTGATAAATTTATCTTCCATCTTCTTCATGAATCCTTTGTGGCCTATTTTCAAGTCGTTGGAAATTTGCTCCGGAAGATTTCTTACCTCACCGTAGACCTTTTCGGCAAAGCGGGTCAGCAGGCCCTTAACAGAGTTGACGTACTGCTTCTTTGCCTGCGTGGTTATCTTTTCGGTGGCCTCTTTCACTTGGGAGTCGACGCGCTCTTGAATTCCCTTGATGTATTGATCACGTAAGAGGCCGGCGTTTAACACAAATTTCTCCGCCTCCTTCATGGGCCCCTTCAGAAGACTGCTCTGAAGCTCGGTGAGGTCATCGCGAATTTTCTGCAGAGTGCCTGCATCAGCGGGCTTTCCTATTTTAGGCTTGCCGATTTTTAGATCCATAAAGTTCTCCAATTTCGCGTTCACCACGTTGGCGGCCTCTGTGATTTCGCGAGTGAGGACGCTGAGATGGTCTTTGATTTTTTGCGCAACGTCTTCCAGCTTCTGCGGGATTGCGTTGGCGGATAGTTCCGTGGCGGTGTCTTTCAGTTTCCCGATGGCCTGGTCGACATGGCCGGCGATGCTAGGATCGCGGGAGGCGACGGCGCTGCTCTCAAAAGCCTGTTCAAGCTGATGGTGCAGCTGGCCGATTTCTGTATGCACCTGCTGCAGCGCCGTGTCGATTTTACCACCGTAGCTTGAATCTCCGGGTTCAAATTGCTTGTTGATGTTGCCGGCGTTGGAGTCTATTTCCGTGAGGTAGTCGATGTGGGAGTCTTTGGCGAAGCGCTGGAGTTCGTTGGCAATGTGCTTAAAATTGTTCACTATGGATTTTGCAATAGCTTGGACGACGGACTTCAGGTTTGCATCTTGGCCGGTAGTAGGGATCGTAGGGTTGGTGCTCTGTAACTGTAGTTCAATAAGCTTGACTGGCCCATCAACTCTACTGTCATCGTCTGGGTCCTTCAGTTTTTCCTCAATCTGTAATGCGAAATCTCTAAATTTATTAGCGATATCACCAACAGTTGCACCTTCCAGCACCTCGGCCGCTTCCTGAATAAGGGCTTCTACGTAAACTGGAAGCGCAGATATAATGGCATTTCGTACCGTCTTAGCCCTTCCAGAATCACCACTACCAGTCAGCTTTGTTCTGTTGAGAAACGCATACTGAGTTATTTTGCTACTCACAAAGCTCTCCTCGGTGTTAACTATCTCTTTGAGCCATTCGGTCACAATTTGTTTCTCAAAAGCATGATCGGCAAACCCACTGGCATACTTCTTAATCCCCTCCTTAATCTGCTTTACACCTTGACCATCCTGAACTACACCTGAACCTCCAGTACCCTTAATCTTGTTAACATAATCTCCAATCGTCTTTTTCAATGCATCCCAATTCTGTTGTATACTTGCATCCGCTGGCCCAAGTTCTTTTCTTGACTCACCCACATGCCCCTTAATTTTATCCACCTTCCCTTTAATATAGTTCATAATCTTCTCGATATTGTCCGGCGGTGCGCTGCCGCCGCTGCTAACGCCATCAGTAAACTTACTGCCAAGCACGCCGATCGCCTCGTTAACCTCCCTACTCAACGTCGTAAACTGCGAAGTATAACCGTCAAGCTTTTCTCTCCACTTCAACAACTCCTTTCTTTGATCGTCAATGAAATTCATCTTACCTGTTACGCCGTCCGTCGTCTCGTCCAGTATCTTCTTAACATCTTTCTCCCTTATCTTCTCAATATCTTTCTTAGCGCTCTCCATCCACGATTGCAAGTCTATAAGACACTGCGCCAGATTGGCGCTAATTTTCTTCAGCTCATCCCAAATCTTCTGAACGTATTCCTTCAGCTTTTCGAAGAAAGCCTTCACATCGATGCTAATCTTGTCGTTTATGTTACACCTTATCGCTTCCAACGTCTCACTGGTCTTTTTCTCCATGCTCTTAAAGTCCTCACTTTGCTGCTCCGCCAACTCGTTGAGACGCTTAGTCTCATGCTTCACGCACTCATGAACATTATTCACGCTCAATTTCAAAAGTGAATTAAGATCATCAATGTTATCTGTTTGCCTATCAAGTGACTGTGAAAACGTCTCAGCTTCCTGCTGACATTCCTCGAGTGACTCCTTCACGGCGCCGTAGAACTTCTCAACTTGTGCAGCCTCGTTGTCTTCCGCAATCTTCTCAACCTGCACGCCATTAAGATCATTAATTAACTTACCTCCTTGATTCTTCGTGTAATCTTGAAGTGAAGTGATAACACTTTTCACACTCTCATTCGACGCTGCCACCTTCTCATTATACGCACGTACACCACTGGCCACCGCGGCTATCGCCGCCTTGTATTTAGTAAAACCATTAAGATTTGTGTCCTTAAGTGAGTCAATTGCATTAGTTATAAGACCATTATGGTGGCCTAATTTAGGCTGAATGTTATGTAAAACACCATGAAGGAAAGACATCACCCCGTCGCACAGCCTGTCAAGGTCCGAGTACACGATGCCGGAGCCATCGTAGCCTTTGGAAGTTTCTTGGTATCCAAGGAACTTTTGTAAACCGTCAGTGAGATTTTTAAGAATTTCTGTTGCAGGATTAACCTTATCTTCCTTGCCAATAAATTTCTCAAGATCTTGTTTGAGCTTACTAAGAGTCTTCTGCCTCTCCTCAATGTCCCCTAAGGCTCCTTTTCTCGCATCCTCAATAAGGTAATGAACGCCATTATAATGGTTATCATACTTGGATTTAGCCTTAGATATTTTATCATCAATTCCAGATGCTTTGGCTTCATCAATTTTCTGCTTCAAGTCACTACAATGCTTGTTATAATGCTCAATAGAAGTTTTATCAGGGCAATTGAGTTCCTTTTCCCTCTTATCAAGACTATCAGTTGCACTAGTAATTGCATCACCAATCAGCTTTCTCAAAGCCTCAGCCAAAGGCCCAAGGCCATTACCATTTCCATGCTTAACCTGGATCAACCAGTCGATGGAGGCCACGACGAAGAGGTGAAACAAAAAGGTGAGAAAGAAATAGGAAAAAGGTTAGAGGACAATTAGAGGATGAAATGGGACACGGAGAATTAGAATTTTGAAAAGGCGATTTTAGGTCAAGAGAGGCAGTGAGGGACGAGGAGAGTGGAGTGGACAGGGCAGGAGAGTGAAGGAGCGAAGACGATGAGGAGGAAAGATGGGGTCAAAATAAGCAGTTTCGGAGGAGTGGAGGAATTGAAGTTGGATGAACCTGAGGAAGGAAGTGGAAGATGGTGAAGACGAAGCGACCAATAAAAAAATGAAATGGGTAAAATCATTAGTAATGTAAATAAATTAAATAGTTAAAATGATTGAAAATAATTAAATAGCAAATTAAAATAAAATAAAATTAAGAAGCTGAGTAAATTGAGTAATTTAAAGTATATGAATGATAAATGGTTGAATGAATAAGTAAATGCGATGATTGAGTACGTGAGAGTAAATATATGAATTGAAGTAATTGAGTTAGAGTGATAAGTAAATAAATACATTGATAAAGTGAAGTAGGTAGAGTGGATTGAGTAGAGTATATGATTGGAAGTAAGTAAGTATCGAAAGTAGGTGAAATGCAAGGTAAGTAGTTGAAGATAAAGTGGATAGAGTGAGTAAGTGATGAAGTGATTTGAAATGCAATTAAGTGGAAATTACAAATTAGAGTGGTAGAAATGCATTGTTAAGAGTATTAGAGTGGTTGAAATGCTTAAATACTCTTAAATGGATAAATGGGATAAATAGAAATAGAATGCATTAAATAAATCATGAAATGAAATGCATTAAAATATAGTAAGTAAATGAATTAAATGCGTGGGTGCATTAAGTGGTAGAGATGGAAATGAAATGATAGAGTAATGCATTGAAATGCAAATTAGATTAAATGAAATGGAAGTAAATAGAAGTACGATGAAGAATAATTTAAAGTAAGTAAATTGATAAATGACCATTGATTAAATGGGTTAAGTCGTGGTGATTAGAAAGTAAAAATGGAGAGTAGATTAAATGCATTAAGTAAGTAGATTAAATAAAATGGAAAGTTGAAATGGGTAGAAATGAATTGAAATGGAAACAGAATAGAGTAGAAGTTAAGTATGATAGAGTAAGTATGCAAGTGAATATGCAAGTGTCATTGAATTAAATGGTTGAGTAAATGCATTAGGGAAATGTAAAGTAAGAATATGTAAATATTAAAGTAAATGAAATGTGTTAAATGCGATACGTCGTGAAATGTCACATTCATTAAATGATAAGTAAATGCGTTAAGTAAAGGAAATGCGTCGATGCAGTAAGTGGGTAAATGGGATTAAATGCATTAGAGTAAATACGTGGGTAAAATAAGATTTAAATAAAATGCGATGAAATGGATTAAAGTAATTGAATAGATAAGTGGGTTAAGAAGCCAAACAGAAATGCATTGAAATAGGTAAGAGTGGATGGTCCGTGGTCATTAAGTAATTAAATGGTTAAATGAATTAAATGAAGTAGATTGAGATGGGTTGAAATAGAGTAGCAAATGAGTAATTGGTCGTTAAGTGAAATGCAGTAAATGGGTGAGTGGTTGAAGTAAATGGGAAGTGGTTGGAAATGAGTAGAGTAAAGTGCCCCAGATCCAAAAGAAACGATATGGTGAAAGTACAAGCGTTGGCGAAGTGCCTTGACGCGTGCGGCGCGAGCAACGACTACGCGCAACGATCTGATGGCAGGTGATCTCAGGTGGAGCATCCTCAGCACGTCAGGAACAGACGACGACGATGCTCAGCAGTACAGGAGCGACAGCGACAGAATATAAGAGAAAGTGAAGAAGTTGAAATGTTGAAGGATTATTTTAGGCACATTTTCAGGGCGATTTGGGGAATTTGGGGAAGCAATGTTAGTCAAGGAGGCAGTGAGGAGCGAGGAGTGGAGTGGACAGGGCGAGGAAGTGAAGAGGGCAAAGACGATGAGGAGGTGGATGAAAGGCAATTTAGGAGAGTGGAGGAAAGGTAAATTAAGGATTTAGGTGAAAGACTAAAAGAAGAATGAAAGAGGAAGAAGAAAAGAAGCTCATATCGAAAGAAGAAATGGAAATGTCGGTAAATGCATCGATGAGTGGTAAAGTGATGGTGAATATATGGTTAAGTGTGTAAGTGTTAAATGTTGAAAATGTAAGTGATTAAGTAAGTTAAGTAATTAAATGGTGTGTGTAAGTGGTTAGAAATGGGTGAAATTAGAGTAGATTAAGTGAGTGGTTAAGTGAATGAAATGGAGTGGATTGAAGTAGTTGAGTGAATTGAAATGGGTAAGAGTAAGAGTGGGTGAGTAAAGTGGTAAAATGAGTGGGTGGTTGAGTGGGTGATTAGGTGAGTGGTTGAGTGAGTGGTTGAGTGGGTGGTTGAGTGGGTGAGTATGTGAGTGAGTGGGTGAGTGAGTGGGTGAGTGAGTAGGTGGGTGGGTGAATGGGTGAGTGGGTGGTTGAGTGGGTGGTTGAGTGATACACAGATCGCACGTAAAGGCACGATTATGGCGAGAAGTACTTGACGTTGGCGAGTGCCCTGACGCGTGCGGCGGCGAGCAGCGACTGCGCGGCGATGCGGTGGCTTGAGGGTGATCTCAGGTGTGACCGTATTCTCAGCACGTCGAGGCGGACGACGGCGATGTGCAGCAGGTAGAGCAAAGAGAGGGACCAAAGGGCTAATAAGGTGATGGAGAATGGCTCTCTGATTTTCCAGAGAAATTCTGGAATCGTTTTGTGGATTAGTTTCGACAGTATTGATTTACCGCCAGTAACAATCTCTAATTGCTTTACGAAATCTTTGCATGATCTTTTCGCAATATCTCTCTTTCCGTCGTGGCCAGCAAGGTGACGCCTATTGGCATACGTGAAACCATATCTACAAAGTGTCGGAAGTGTCATGCGACACTGGAGAATGGAATGGCACTCAGGCCAATGTGACGGCGTATCGGTGAGGATTGCACCAGTGTAAACGGTGCAGTCTTCATGACAACCTCTAATACGACATTTGGATTTCGGCGAACAACAATTGCTTTCGCAGTCCTTCAATAATTTCTGTAAGAGATCATAGAACGTCTCGGTGAGGTAAACGATCCACGATAAATATGCTGCTTTGTTTTTTGATGAAAATATGCGATACGTATCCAGCACTATAGGGGAAACATATGATCCACAATTTGTGCCGGCAGTGTAACATGTGGTGTCTGGACACATTATACTGTACAGGTCTCCGTTTTGGTGATACAAGGCGTAGGTTGGAACGGTAGGTGTGTTGTCATATTTTGCATGACCTTTGGATTTGAACATATTCGACAAATCCAAACTGGTATCAAGATTCTTGAAATTTGCATTCCGAACGGCCGCTTCAAGTGCATGTTTCCTATGCTCCGTCTTTGTGGTCCACTCATCAAGGAAACAATAGTAAAATGACAGCATATCACCCAGAGATTTCGGCGCACTGGGAAGGAGGCAATTCAGCATACTGCAGAGTGCACTGAGGCAAGAAGTCTCTCTGCCACAAAATCTGTCAAGCACGCTAACAATATCTTCCCCTCTCTTTATGTGAGACGCGGTAACAGCTATTTCGGGAAGACCCATTGGCATCTTACACGGCATTCCGCGTGACATAGGACACGTGGAACATGTGAGGCCGGTGCCTTTAACTGATACACTATGAGGCAAAAAGCCCTGAAGACCATCCTCAAGGAAAGATTGGAGTGGTGACTTAAGGCCACACTTAGGGTGCTGGTCACACGTTTGGTTGGTGTTTTGGTCAGCTGTTTGGTTGGCACGTTGGTTACTGCTTTGGTTGACTGCTTGCTTAAATGCTTGGTCACAGGATTGGTTTGGACACCGCATTCTGTTGCACTGCCAACCGGAGCCAGCAACGCCGTTGCCATAGTAACAGTCGGACCAACCACTCAACGCAGTTGTATGTCTACACTGTTCGAGCAAGAAATGAAGTTGCTGGTAGAGATGTTTCAGGAAATCGAAGAGGGTGCATATCAAGCTTATCGTGTTGGAGGAGTACAGGAAACCGTGTGAGTTGTTCGAGAAGTCTGAGGCGTAGATGCCATTAGAGTGCCCAGTGCCGAGTATGGCAACCAATGTCCTATCTGCGTGGCGGCACACTCTATCTAACTCAGTGTGGAGCTTTTCAGCCGTTACCTCTGGATGGGAGGAGAGTGTTAGATGTCTGGGATTAATATTAGAATCAAGCATAGTTTTCTGTGACTCTGTTTTAGGAAACAGTGTCTTCATGTAGTCTTTGAGCTTGGGATACACAGCGCTGTGCGGGAGCCCGGAAAGCCAACGCAGGATGTCATAGATGCTGGTCGGAGTTTTGGGTGACTGTGGAAGTGTGAGATGGGAAACACGGCGGTAACGGTGGAGATGTTCGACGAGCTGTTTGAGGATGCTGTAATCCTTTTCGTTGGTTTTATCGTCCTCATCTCTAATTAGGAAAAACTGTTCACGATTTTGTGTGGTTAGCTGGCCAGTCAGTTTGCCATGAATTTTGTTACCATTGCACTCAATTGTGTTGCGCAGTTCACCATTCTGCTCGTTTTGGTGATTGGAAACATCGTAACCACAGCGTGTGAAAAATGCACCGAACACATTATTATTATGTGAATTAATTTTCTTAAATTGCCCATCGGATTTACAGTACAATCTCAGTCTATGTAAATCACCAAACACTTGTGATGTAATTGTGAGACACACTTTCGCGTATTTGTTTTCGTGCGCCGCCTGCCACGGCTGACTGTCATACACCGACACGTACGCCTTTTGGAGTTCGTCGTGCATCCCTGTCAGGCCTTTTGTGAGAACGTCGAGCAGGGGATTGCTTTCGGTAGCGTACGAAGCGGGGCGGATGGTGGAGAGGAGGGAGTGGAGGGCGGAGAGGTTAGTTTGGAAGGTGGTGTCGTATTTGGAGAGGTTGGTAAATAATGTGCTTAGTTTGTTTTGCAGGTCGGAGAGGTAAGTGACGGGCATGATTTCCCTACTATTGTTCAGTGTGTCAATGAAAGTGTTGAAGAAAGCATGGACAATTAAACAGACATGAAGAGTGGTAGTTTCACGGAGTGTCTCACTTAATTTACTAGATGTTGAAAATTTATGAAGTTGTTTCATGAACCCCTTGTAGGATTTATTCTCCTCGTCGGTGATTTGTGTAGGGAGCGGTGAAAGTTCCTTAGTTACTTTCGCAGCAAACTCTTCAACCTGTAACTTAATGAAGGTGACGTATGTTGTCCGAACGTTTTCCAGAATACTGTTTTCGGCTTGTTGAATTCTTTGCTGAACGTGATCGGAGAGTTCGGTTATCATAAGCTCGCAATGTTCTTCGGCATATCGAATAATCTCTTCGACTTCTTTAATCAAAGGATGCAATTTTTGGTTCTGCAACTCACCGAGTTGGCTATGAAGTTCTTTGAGGCTACCTTTTTCCGCTGCGTTATATTTTGATACCAATTTGTTCTTCAATTCCGCCAATATATTATTCGCACTTTCCCCACCTTGTGAAGCATCCTTGATGATAGCGGTGCAAAAGGCTTCGAGGTGAGTGCCGGTAATCTTGCCAGACACGGACGTGATATGCGATCTATCTGCACTGTGTGATGAAACGGCATCTTTAATGGGTTGTAGAACTTGCGCGCTAAGATTACTAATTGCTGGTGTAATAGTTGATTCTATATGAGTAGAATAGGTCGGCATCTTTTTTTTTAGTACGTCACCAGTTTGAAGGTACCCATTAATCGACCCTGCAACCTTTCCTTTGATATCTTCAGACAGCGCGGTGATGAGCTTTTCTGGATCTGGTTCACTCGTGATTGCAGAACCGCCAGGATATTTAAGACCGAAAAGTGCATATTCTAAAGATGTAATAAGTTCATTGTTTGCACCTGGTGACTGTAGTAATGCCTTCAATCCATCACTGAGCTTAGTATCTTTCTTCAATGCATCAACACCTCCGGTAATACCACTACCACTCAGCTTCGTTTCTCCCGCCGCCTCAATCACAGCACCAACCATATCTTCAACATACCCCCGAATGGCACCGTCAATACCAATTTTTAATTGTTTCACCCCCTTAACAATTTCAGCATCCAAACCCTGAACTGCTTTGTTAATTCTCTGAACCAATGGGCCTAACTTACCTTCCGCTGTCTCATACGCTTCATACAAAGCCAACGCTTTCTCTTTTAATTCATTCACGGCTTGTTCAAGTTTTTCTCTATTTCTAGTCTTAGATATACCTTTAGCCTCATTGAAAATATCCATAACCTTTCCCAATGCTCTTTCCACGGCGGCATCCGCCTTGTCAATGCACGAATCCAATACCTCAATGTAATGCTTAAGCCACCCATCCACTGTCTCAACCCTCTGTTTCAACTCTCCAATTCGCCTATTCACTTCACTAACGAATATTCTAATTCTCTGCGCAGCCGTGGAATTTATCTGCCCTTTAGCCTCCCCAAGCGCCTGTGTGACACCATGTTCCACAGCCTTTCTGTACTTCTGCTGATACGTCCAAATCGCACTCAACCTCCCACGCTGATATCTAATTAATTCAGTAGCATTGTTAACATCTTTCTCCAATTCATTTTGGAGGTCTTTAATATTACTACTTTTTTGAGCGTCCATGCCGTGATAGTACTGCTGCGCCTCCATGAGACATTCACTCACCTTCTCATCAATTTGATTGACACTATTATAATCTTGCATACTTTTGACAGCCGCAGGTACCTGTTTCATGTATTCATTGAACTTTCTAATCACCGAACTTATTGCATTGTTCGACTCCCTCACACCCTCATTATACTCCCTCACCCCCGACACCACCTTGCCAATCGCAGCATTAAAACCCTCTTTACCAGAGTGTTTATGGGTGTTAAGAAGCCTTATAGCTTCAGTAATACGATGATTATGTAAGCCTAATTTAGGCTTGATGTTATGTAAAACTCCATGAAGGAAAGACATCACCCCGTCACACAGCCTGTCAAGGTCCGAGTACACGATGCCAGTGCCCGAGTAGCCTTTGGAGTCAGGATTAAAGCCTAAAAACTTTTCTAAACCGCCAGTGAGATTTTCAAGAAGTTGTTTTGCAGGATTATTACTTTTATCATTTTCTTTTCCAATAAAACCTTCAAGCTTACCTTGAAGATCCTTAAGTGTCTTCTGCCTCTCCTCAATATCATCCAACGCTTTTCCCCTGGCATCCTGAGTAAGGTAATGAACGTCATTATAATGGTCAGTGTAGTTGGATTAAAGGTGGATTAAGGGAGGGTTAAAAGAAGTAAGGGGGATGAAATGACACATTTTCAGGGCGATTTGGGGGAATTTGGAGAAAGGCGATTTTAGGTCAAGGAGGCAGCGAGGGAGTGAGGGAGTGGAGTGGACAGGGTGAGGGAGGTGAAGCGGCGAAAGAGGGCGATGAAGGAGGATGATGGGTTGAGGAAAGGGGATTTTAGGGGTGGAGGGGGAAAGGTGGAAAATGAGGATTTGGGCGAAGGACGCCGACGGAGGAGGTGATGAAGGGATGGAGGCAGGGAGCGAAGCGACCAGTGAAGGAAGATGTGAGTGAGTGTGTGAGTAGGTGGGTGAGTGGGTGGGTGAGTGGGTGAGTGGGTGGTTGAGTGGGTGGTTGAGTGGTTGAGTGGGTGGTTGAGTGGTTGAGTGGGTGAGTGATACACAGATCACACGTGAAGGCACGATTATGGTGAGAAGTACTTGACGTTGGCGAGTGCCCTGACGCGTGCGGCGGCGAGGAGGGACTGCGCGGCGATGCGGTGGCTTGAGGGTGATTTTAGGTGGGACCGGATCCTCAGGACGTCGAGGCGGACGACGGCGATGTGCAGCAGGTACAGGAGCGAGAGCGACCAGAGGGCGAGGAGGGTGTAAGAGAAATTCTCTCTTATCTTCCAAATGAATTCATCGATTTGCTTGATTAGTTGAATAAGTGCGGATTCCTCCTCTAGGATCTTCTTCAACGCACTGCAGAAATCCTTGCACGTTCTTCTAGCTTCCAATGCGTCACCTGTGCCGCATAATCCCAATGGTTTCCCAAAACTGAAGCCGTACATATATAGCGTGGGAAGTGTGTTTTGGCATTTGACTATGGACGTGCAATTTTCAGTGTGATTTTGCCGTCAAGTGACTTGCTCGCTGCTTCTGCATCTTCAGAGTTTTGAGCTTCATATGCCTTTTTCACGTCGCAATCCTTGTCACATCTCGTGCCATGACATTTGGCTCCCGGAGACGTGCACGTACCACAGCACTGCTTATATAATTTGTCCAGCAAACTATAGAAGGTCTCAGCCGAGTACAGGAACCATGACAGGTATTGTTTTTTATTGTACGACGAGAAAATGCTATATGTGCTGGATGAGAGTGACTCCAAATAGACACCACATGTATCTACTGCTCTATCTTCGCATTCGGATATGGTGAACAGATCACCTTCGGAATGGTTTGACTTGTTCCCCGATTGATGTACACGGGTGGTGAACAAAATAGTCGGAGTCAAGTCCGAATATTCCTGGCCGAAATAAGCATCCTTAATGGCCTTACTAAAGGCTAAACATTTATGCTCTCTACCATGGTCAATCCAGTTTGCCAGATAGCCACGGAGGAAACCGAAAATATCATCAAGCGTCTGAGGTGCTCGGCGGAGTACGCAGTTCAGCATGTTACACAACCTAGTGAGGGCAGAATACGGACCACAAAAATCAAAAAGCACACGCTCAAGATATGCACCTGTTTTAGTATGCGAAGCAACGACACCGATATCGGCAAAGCCCATTGGCGTCTTGCAGGGAAGTCCTCTATGATTGGATACCGTACACGTTAACTTGCAGCCGGGACTGCTAAATGAATGTGGCAAGAACCCTTGCAATCCGTCCTCTAAGAAAGACTGCAAAGGGGATTTCATACCACAATCGGGGTGTTGGTCACAGCGTTGGTCAGCGCTTTGGTCAGCACCTAGGTTGCCATTTTGGTTACCCTTTTGGGTAGCACCTTGGTTAGGTCTCAGGTTACACTCTTGGTTGGCACACTGTTCTGTGTTGCACAGCCAACTGGAGCCAGACACGTACCTGCCGTACGAGCAATCACTCCACCCGCTGTGACTTTTGCCACCGAGGCACTGCTTACGTAGGAACCACAGTTGCTGATACAGTCTAAATAACACATCTACTAGCATGTCTAAGCACGCACCACCGCTACCAGGATACAATAAATTACTTGAGTTAGTGAGGTGATCAGAGGCATACACACCGTCTGCGTGGCCGTGGCCGAGCACGGCGACTAATGTTTTTTCGGAGTATATGCAGACGTTATCAAGTGCTTTAGTTAATTGGGCAGAGTCTATAGGTGACGTAATTAAGTTATGCATATCGGTTTGCACGGCGACTGGTAATGCTTCAGTGTCTAACTTATGCTCCTTTTGTAGGCCCTTAAGCACATTGCCAAGCTGGCTCTTGACTTCACTGTACATGTGGTTGTACTTAAGCCCGGCAGTCCATTGGAGCATGAGATAAATGTTGGACGGGGCTCTGGGCTTTGGAGGGATGTTGTAGTGGCAGACACGGTTGTACCTTTCGAGTATAGGGTAAAGCAGTGAAAGAATGTGGAGGACATTGATACCGGTGTTTTTCAAGCCTTTAATTTTGATGTTCATTTGCGCAGCGTTGGTAAGTGGCTTGTTGAGAAGATCACTATTAATTTGTCCACCCTTCATGTCCCTCCTCAAGTGACCATTCTGAATTTTGTCATTATCGGACACATTGTAGCCGCGGGAGTGGAACCAGAGGGCCATCTTATTCTTTTCTGTGGGCGTATTAATTTCCAATTTACTCCACTCACCGCTGCAGTTTCTCTGCAGATTGTACATGTGTGTCACCCAACCAGGGAGACAGGTCATGAAAACCTTAGACAGCTTCTTGCCGTAGTCCGTCAATTTGCGTTTGTCGTCTGGCGTAGTGAGATCCAAAATCTCAGGATCAAGCAACGCACCGTCAAACTTCTTACAACAGTACGTGCTCGCATATGCGTAGCCGAGTTGCTTGGCCAGGGCGCCGATTCCGTCCTTGAGCGCTTGCAGGATGGGACTGGAGGAGTCAGTGAATTTGGCGGGGGTGAATGTAGATAGTGCGTTGTTGAGGGATTTAAGGTTTGTGGAAAAAGTGTGGTCGAAGTGTTGAGCATCTACAAGGCCATCAAGCACGGTGCCAATTGCGTCCGTTAATGGCAAATATGTAGATGACTCAGGGAACACCGCATCAGGCTGTATCAATTCGGCGTAACTTTCAGCACATTCCTTCCTCTGTTCTTCGAACTCCTGAAGAAAATCACCAAACCCTTTATTTAAATCGTAGGCCGCTTGTTTGAGTGGAAATTTATATGTTGTGTCGGATTTTTGAGAGGTGGGCGTTTCCTGAATATCCTTAATTTTTACTAACTCAGGCATACACTTGTCGTTAAATATTTTCATGAATCCTTTTAACCCCGTAACGCTGTCCACATAAATAATTTCATTTATTCTCTCCGTTTCCTTCTCCACCAGCTCCTTGAGCTGCTCGAGCGCGTGGGCCTTGGACGCGGCGAACTGGGAGAGGGCTTGGCGTTTGATTTCTTTTCCAGCAACCTTAGCATTACTAATAGCTTCATTACAAGTGCTTTGAATGTACTTTACGATGAATTTTTTGGCTTCATCAAATTCATGTTGAACGTTGGCAATCATCGATGTCAAGTCACCTGCTTTTAAATCTGTGAGAGACTGTTTAAGAGAAGAGATCTCTCCCTTGAGTGATTCGAGAAAACCGTTAATTGTCTCTTTTTCGCTTCCTTTTTTCACCATTTTGGATATTTTGGAAAGCTGTGACTTAATTGCTTCGACGGCTGAGTTTATGGCAGAAATCTTGGGAAACAACTGACTCATCTGGCTGTGAATATCAGTCCTAATTTTACCTAGTTTATCCGTGGAATCATTGCCTTGAATAGTAGTTTCCTTGAACGTTTGCAAAGTTGACTGAAGACCATTCGTCTGGTCCTGTCCAGCAGCGTTCCTGACGTCTTGTACAATTTTGTTGAAGGGCGTAGATACATTATTATCAAACTTGCTAAACAGGGATTTTTGATCATTGAATGCTGTGCTCAGCCGCTGAACATTTTGCACCAAACCGCCGAGGTCTTGTGACACATTTTGAATAACACTTAAGTTATTACTTACAGTTCCGTTACGAGAAGGAAGGCGTCCATTAATCGACTGGAGTTGGCTATAAAGTGACTGGGCGATTCCCACAGCGTTTTGTAGAGAACCATGAAATGTAATAGTTGATTTACTTAAATCTGAACTAATGGTCAACCTACCAATGCTCATCACGCCACTTCGGATTCGGTCCTTCAAGACGGCGACAATATCGTTTACGACTTTTCGTGTTGTAGAGGCAAGAGTGGACAGCGTGTTGAGATGCGAGGAACTGACATTGGCTGCAGTGGGCTGCCCTGTGCGTTGCATTTGTAGACTTCGAACCTCAGCTTCAATCGACTGAACTGCTTGCACATTTTGCTCCAAGTCAGTAAGTGACGTCTGTAACGGTGATGGGCCTGAAAGAGGAAGTGTATAAGGATAAAACGGAGTAGATCGTACTGCACTGTTCTGCTCAACACTTTGCGCAGCCTGCTTTACGGTATTTGACATCTCCTTGAGAGACTGGATAACATTTGGCAATTGACGAATTTGGGATGTCATTTGATTACCACGGCTCCCCGTTACGACACCGTTTTCCACCCAAAGTTTGTATTTGTCAAACGCATCCGCCAGTTTCTCATCCACCAAGCTCTCAACCGCATCCACCATCTTATTAAGATGCTCAGTGGCCTCGCTGGCGTATCCCTTAAGTTCTTCTTGTTTCAAGTTGAAAAAATGCTCTTGCGTTTTTTGCTTTAAGTCGCTAATTGCGTGAGTTATGTTTAGCGTACTAGTCTCTTGAACTTTATCAAAAATCTGTTTAGCCTTCAATAGTGCATTCTGCATCGTCTGCTCCGCCTTCTGAATCCACGAACTCAAGGAACTGTCAATTCCGCCAAGCTCTCCATGAACACTTTGAACTGTCGATCTAGCTTCCTCAATCGACGTGAATTGCCTTTTCAAATCGGAGTTAGCATTTTCATCCAGCGCCTTCACTACAGCATCGCACTTCTGCAAAGCATTGTGAAGGTTTGAACCATTATCGTTTTTAAGCCACTTTTCCAACTCCTCGATAGCCTTTTTGACACCTGGCACAACTTTCTTAATATGCTCGTGAAGCGTGTTAATTTCACCTTTCAGAAACGTTGTCAAACTATCGATTTTATTTGCGGCATTTCCTGACACGCTTTCCGAATTTTTAATAATCTCACTCATCTTTTCATCCACCTTCCCACACACCTCCTTAAGCCCCTCGTGATCCTTCTTGGTTGACTCCACGAAAGTCTCCACTCTGTCTTTAATTAGGGAGACGTGTGGAGACAAATCTTTTTGGAGGTTTTGGTCGAGATAGTGAATATCACGGAGTGATTTGAAAAAATATTCTGGAAGCTTCTGAACGGCATCCATCCACCTGAGCAGCGTAGTGTTTTTAACATCATTATATTCTCGTGTCTTTAAGTCTTGAATAACTGTAATTATCTTAGGTAAATATTCCGGCTTTAACAACTCCTCCAACGGCTTTTTCACCGCCTCGCTCTTAGTATTCACATCCCCCAACCACCTCTCAATCCCCAACTTGACGGTGTCAATCACAGCACGCAAACCTGTTTGGCCATTATAACGATGAGTTTCTAAAAGGCTTACAGCTTGAGTTAATTTCTCTTTATAAGGCTCAAGATTATTATTTTCTTTGACATCTTTAAGCAAAGAATGCAAGAACGCCATCACCCCGTCGCACAGCCTGTCAAGGTCGGAGTACACGATTCCCTCGCCGGTGTAATTCCCATTCTCGTAGCCGAGAAATTTTTCGAGGCCTGTGCAGAGGTTATTTAAAAGGTTTTTACAAGCATCATCACTTTGTTTACCAAGAGAATTCAAAGACTCATTAAGGCTCTTCAGCTTCTGAAGAGCATCCAACTTGGACTGATGAGAGGATAAAAGGCGAGAATCTTCAGAGGAGAGGGAAGGATTTTCGGAATTTTTCTTAGATTCAAGGGATTTTTTATGTTTATTAAAATGCTCAATTTTCTGAGTAAGCTCAGCATCATCTATAGACACAGCAGACACGGCAGCGGAAGACAGCGCAGTCGGAGACGGAGACTTTTTAAGGCTTTTGAAGTCTTTATCACTGCTAATAATAGCTGTAATACCATCATTAATTGCTTTAGTAACAACCTCACTTTTGCCAATAAATTGGCCAAGCTTCCCACTAAGGTCAGCAAGAGACAGCATCCTGGAGTGGACGTCCTTGAGTTGGGCAGTCCTGTCAGACTCAGAAAGGGAATGATACTTGGCAACATGATCTTTCAATTTGGATTTAAGGTCGTCGATTTTAGAGTCATTTTGTGAGTTAGCAGTGGATTTATCAGAATTTTTAAGCAAGTCAATTTGCTCGTTAAGAGACTGACAGTGGGACTTAGGAGAGCCATTAAAAGTGTAATGTCCAAGGCAATTAAGGTGAGAAAAGAAAGTGGAAAAAGAGTTGAAAGGCGATTAGAGGAGGTGAAATGGGATGCTTTTGGAGGATTTCAGAATTTTTTTAGAAAGGCGATTTTAGGTCAAGGAGGCAGCGAGGGAGTGAGGGAGGTGGGTGGACAGGGTGAGGGAGGTGAAGGGGCGAGAGACGGCGATGAAGGAGGAAGATGGGTGGAGGTAAGGCGGTTTAAGAGGGGGAGGGAGGAAGGTGGAAAATGAGGATTTGGGTGAAGGACGCCGACGGAGGAGGTGAAGGAAGGGGTGATGGAGAGGGAGCCAAGCGACCAGTGAAGGAGGAGGTGAGTGAGTGGGTGGTTGAGTGAGTGGTTGAGTGGTTGAGTGAGTGGGTGGTTGAGTGGGTGAGTAGGTGGTGAGTGGGTGAGTGAGTGGGTGAGTGAGTGGGTGATTGAGTGGGTGAGTGAGTGGGTGAGTGAGTGGGTGAGTGGGTGGTTGAGTGGGTGGGTGGTTGAGTGGGTGAGTGGTTGAGTGGGTGAGTGGGTGAGTGGGTGAGTGTTTGAGTGAGTGGGTGGTTGAGTGGTTGAGTGGGTGGTTGAGTGATTAGGTGGGTGAGTATGTGAGTGAGTGAGTGGTTGAGTTGGTGGTTGAGTGGGTGAGTGAGTGGGTGGTTGAGTGGTTGAGTGGGTGAGTGATACACAGATCACACGTGAAGGCACGATTATGGTGAGAAGTACTTGACGTTGGCGAGTGCCTTGACGCGTGCGGCGGTGAGGAGCGACTGCGCGGCGATGCGGTGGCTTGAGGGTGATTTTAAGTGGGAGCGTATCCTCAGGACGTCGAGGCGGACGACGGCGATGTGCAGCAGGTACAGCAAAGAGAGGGACCAGAGGGAAACAAGCGTCCAGATGAAGGGTGCTCTGATAGTGAACATGAGTGTGTCGATGGCACCATGGAATTCTCTCAAATACTTAGAGTTTAATATACTGTTGAGTGCTTTGTAGAAATGCTTGCATTGCTTTTTGCTTTTGACAGCGGTGTCGGCGAAAATGAAACCGTATTGGTACAATACGGATGATACTCCGTGGCAGTGGACCATTGACCTGCATCCGCACGATGTAGTGCCGTGTTTACCTGGTTTACAGCTATCATCGTTGAGGCATGGCGCACAACCTGAAGCGTAGCAGGAAACATTACAAAAATCCCTCTTCAACTGCTCAAGGAATGTTTCAACATTCGTACAAACGTATAACAACCACGACAAATAATTCTTGGCAAACGTCGGCGCAAAAGTAGAATAACCAAGAAACGATAATGGTCTTATGAAATAACCGCAATCCGTAGAGCCACAGCCAACAAGATAACTCAGGTCAAGTTCCTTGTTCAAATCATGATAAACGTGGTCTGGAGAATCATGCAGTTGCCTGCAAGGCTCAAGGAACTTCTTCGCATCATAATAGTCGCAGCCCACTGTAGCCATTATTTCGTCACAAACGGCGAGTTGGATGGAATTTGACGGGCTAGCAGCTGTAGGCATCCATTTCCACGGTCTGGTGAGCTGGCAATAATACGACAAAATATCTGCAAACGTCTGCGGAGGGCGACTAACTGCACATGTTATAGCCGAGTATAGCTCGGTGAGTACGCCGCCGTCACCGCATATACCTTCAAGCACATAACATATATCCTTACCTTTACGTGTACTACCGGAGAAAGCTCTGAATCCTAGAGGGGTAATACAGGGCATCTTACTTGAACTGGGTGAGCATGTCGAACATTTGGACTTACATCCCACGGACTCCAGTAGATGAGGCAAGTGCCCGGGAAGACCGTCAGTAAGGAACAACATGAGTGGTGACTTTGGTTGGCACTCAGGGTTCTGACTATCATGCTGGTCACACTGCCAGTTCGATGTGTGGGCGTAGTTTCCATACGCACACTGAGACCAACCAAGCGTATATGACGAATGGGAGCACTGTTCATACAAAAATCTGAGTGAAGGGAACAATCTACGAATCATGTCAAAAAGCATATCAAAGCATTCGGCAGAATTGGAAGGGTAATGCAAATTAGAAGTGTTGTCACAGTATTGGTAAGCGTAATACGTTGTTGCGTCGCCAGTGCCAACAATAGTGATCAGGATGTCATACGATTTGGAGCACATGTGCGCTACCGCTTTTCGTATATCATCATATGTAATGCTCTGTGGGTAGGCAGATAGGGATAAGGTTTTGGTGTCAACTACTCTGGCTTCAAAGTCATCTTCGACCTCTGGTATTTGCGAGTCTGGACCACTAAGTAGTGTAATTATGCTGTCGTGCAAAAGGTTTGTATATATCGATCTATATGGGAGACCGGAACACCATATCAACATTTCATAAACATTGCACGGCGATCTAGGAGACGGCGAAGTGGCGAGGTGACAGATTTCATTATATGTCCTGAGGTAAGCGAACAGATTGTCAAGAACGTTTACCGAATTCACAGAGTTTATAGCTGATTGAAGATATAAATCGAAATCGGTCTGGTTGTCATCGGGATCTTTAGTAAATTCGTCATATTCACCAAAACCCCTACTCAATCGCAAAGAAACGTCTATGTTGGTGTTGTTTTTGGTAATGAGATTGTCGACATTAAAACCCTGTCGCTTGAGATATTTTTCCAATTGATCTGCCTTGCCCTCACTCTGTATTTTACAGTTTTTCCACTTTTTACAACAATTATAGAAAACGTAATGCAATTGATTGAAAAGCGTAGGAAGCGAGGTCAAAAATACCTTGGCACAGTTTTCCTTCGAGTTTTCATCTTTACCCCAATCAATATTCTGACTGTCATACGCTGATATGTACGCCTTCCTAAGTTCACCGACAAGGCTAGAAAGGCCCAAACCAATGGCGTCAAGGGTGGGAGTGTTTGGATTTGCAAATCCACGCGGAGCAAGCTCCTTAATCGCCTCAGTCAAGCTCTTAAGGTAATCAGAAACGTGATGGTCATATCTATTTATGCCACTAATATGGCTAAGTAGCGTGTTAAACTTTTTGTCAACTGACTTAAGCTTATCAACATAGTAATTTGTCGATTTCGTAAGTGTAGGATTCTTCATCAAATGGTTCTCATCGTGAACTCTTACAATCTCATCGTTGATATATCCCTTTAGTTGTGTCCAAAATGACTGGAATGCGGCGGATAAGCCACGAATATTATTCTTATCTTTGGCATTTAGAAGTTTATCAATGTTATTAGGATTCAGTGTTCTTTTGTAATCGCCATAAAACTTCTCCATAAACCCTTTAAATCCAATGTGCCTGTCACCTTCAATCTGCTGTGGAAGTCCATCAAGCTCTTTGGTCACCCTGGAGGCAAACTGTTTGAGTAACAACTTAGTGGTGATAACGTGATGCTTCTTGGCTTGTGTAGTTAGTTTATCGGTTGCATTTCTGACTTGATGCTGAACCTGCTCCTTGAGTTTTTGGATGTATTCATTTTGTAATTGGTTAGATTCTGTTTGAATGAAATTTTCAGTTGCTCTGATGGGACCAGACTCCAGCTTGCTCTGCAATTCGCTAAGTTTATTTCTAATCCCGCTGAGTTGATGATCTGCGTTACTGAGATCTTTATTTTTAAAAACCTCCAAAATTTTCTTCAGACCATTGGGATCTCCAGCGGCGTTTTTAATGTCTTCGCACAAAGTCTTGAGTTTTTGCTTAAGCAGCTGTAGTTTATACTCCGCATCAGTATTCACTGCGCCTAATGGATCTAATACACTGTCCATCTCACTCTGGATTTTCTTGATGGCCTTGGGGAGTTGGCCATTTAGCTTTTCTAGCTCAGTGGACTTCGGGGCTGGTTGGTTGACTTGTTCTTTGTATCCCTGGAACTGTGTTGCACCTACTGGAAGAGTTACAGCTACACCTTTATCAGTCTCTCCAATCTGTTCTGTCAGAAGATCATCAACCTTTTTCTGAAGGCCGCTGCCTTGTTGTAGGAGATCTTTCACCTTTTGGTCGGCGGTGTTAAATTCAGTCATAAGCGTTTGAAGGTTTATACTATTTCTATCCTCACCGATCGCCTTATTGATTTTATTTACTATGTCATCTCCTATGGCGGTGAAGAGTGATTTATCGTTGCCACCATTCTTATGTTTCGCACTCCTCAGGTTTTCGAGAGAATATAGTAGAGCTTTGCGTGCATACTGGATGGGATCTGATGTATCACGCCCCGATGAGTGTATTACATTCCGGAGGGAATTTGCCCCCGCCTCCGTTAGCCACGTATACAAACTTGTACCTTGCAATTTGTCAAGGTTCGCAATACTAACAGCATGACCGCCATGTGCCTCTGCCGCACCTTTGAAATCAGCTTCATTTAACTTCCTGATAAACCCTTCAATCGCATTCTTGACAGTTACATCCCTCACTTTCTCCAACCCATCTTTCACTTTATCTTCCAACTTATCAAGTTTATCTCTCTGCTTCAACTGCGTCTCAACATACTGCTTAATCCCCAACTTAATCCCCGTTTTCACATCATTCAGATCCATCATAAGAGAACTGTTCATCGTTATAACCTGCTTCAACGCCTCTTTAACTTGATTTCTAACTTTTTCCAAGGCACCATCCTTTGCCTCGAAGAGCTTGTTGACATCCTGCTTCAATTCGTCTGCCGCCTGCTTAATATCCGTGACATTGCTGAACGCAGAGTTCTCATCAACCTTACCTGATATTGTATTAACCTTCAGCAATGCTTCTTCCATAGTCTTATTCCCTTTCTGAATCCACCTTTCCAAATCCTGAACATAGCCAAACAGACTCCCACTAATCTCTTCCAGCTGCTTTTTTATAGCACGAACCCTCTCCCTCAACTTGCTGACAAGCAGAGGTATTTTTGCGTCAATCTCTTTATCTAAGTTAGTTCTAAGCTCTGATAGAGCACTCCCAATTTTTGTGGTCATCTCGCTCAGAACTTTACTTTGATCCTTCGACAACGCAGTGAGATGCTCAGTTGCAAGCCTCACCGAGTCACGCGCTTTATTGACTTTGTCACGCAGAGTAGGATTCAGGTCATTAATTGCGTTTTCTATTTCGTCTTTAGTTGTAATATCCCGGGTTTCATTAAGCGCCTCACCATTCTTAATACAGTCTTCCAATGTACTTCTAACCGAATTCACAGCCTCCTCAGCCTTCCCAGGAAAACGCGGATCTAAATTGTCATGTATAGCACTCACTTGCTTTCTAAAGCTATCACCTACCTTCTCTAACAATCTTTCAATCCTTCTCTTGGCTTTTTTGTTCGACACCTTCACTTCCTCATTATACCTCCCGACACCCGTGGCCACCTGGCCAATGACACTCTTAAAACCATCATGACCTGAACACAAATTACTACTAAGATGACTCAAAACATCATCACGTAATACATTTTTACCAACACTGTAAGGCTGTTTAGTGTGGACATCTTTAAGCACGGAATGCAAGAACGCCATCACCCCGTCACAAAGCCTGTCAAGGTCCGAGTACACGATGCCGGAGCCAGTGTAGCCTTTGGATTTTTCATTGTACCCTAAAAATGTTTGGAGACCTGAACACAGGCTTTCAAGTAAATCACGTGGATTGTTTTGTTGATTTTGAGTAAGTGAATTAGCAAATTGACAAAGCTCTTTCAGTGTCTCAAGAGACTTCATGGATGACTGATGATATTCAAGGGATTTAGAAAGCTCCTTAATTTCAGAGGCATTTTGAGGAGATTGATAGGCATCTTTAATATTAAAAAAAGGATTATTTTAGGCACATTTTGAGGGCGATTTGGGGGAATTTGGGGAAAGGCGATTTTAGGTGAAGGAGGCAGCGAGGGAGGTGGGTGGACAGGGCGAGGGAGGTGAAGGGGCGAAAGAGGGCGATGAGGGAGGAAGATGGGTTGAGGAGAGGCGATTTTAGGGGTGGAGGGAGAAAGTGGAAAATGACGATTTGGGTGAAGGACGCCGACGGAGGAGGTGATGGAGGGGGTGATGGAGGAGGGAGCGAAGCGACCAGTGAAGGAGGAGGTGAGTGAGTGGGTGGTTGAGTGAGTGGTTGAGTGGTTGAGTGAGTGGGTGGTTGAGTGGGTGAGTAGGTGGTGAGTGGGTGAGTGGTTGAGTGGTTGAGTGAGTGGGTGGGTGAGTGGGTGAGTGGGTGGGTGGTTGAGGGGGTGAGTGGTTGAGTGGGTGGGTGAGTGGGTGGGTGGTTGAGTGGTTGAATGGTTGAGTGGGTGAGTAGGTGGGTGAGTGGGTGAGTGGTTGAGTGGTTGAGTGGTTGAGTGGGTGGTTGAGTGGTTGAGTGGGTGGTTGAGTGGTTGAGTGGGTGAGTGGATGAGTGTGTGAGTGAGTGAGTGAGTGGGTGAGTGGTTGAGTGGTTGAGTGGGTGGTTGAGTGGTTGAGTGGTTGAGTGGGTGGTTGAGTGGTTGAGTGAGTGGGTGAGTGGGTGAGTGGGTGGGTGGTTGAGTGGTTGAGTGGTGAGTTGAGTGGTTGAGTGGTTGAGTGGGTGGTTGAGTGGGTGGTTGAGTGAGTGGGTGAGTGGTTGAGTGAGTGGGTGAGTGGGTGAGTGGGTGAGTGGGTGAGTGGTGGGTGAGTGAGTTGGTGAGTGGGTGAGTTGGTGAGTGAGTAGTTGAGTGGGTGAGTGGGTGATTGAGTGGTTGGGTGAGTGGGTGGTTGAGTGGGTGGTTGAGTGGGTGAGTAAGTGAGTGGTTGAGTGGTTGAGTGGTTGAGTGATTAGGTGAGTGGTTGAGTGGTTGAGTGGTTGAGTGGGTGGTTGAGTGAGTGGTTGAGTGAGTTATTAGGTGAGTGGTTGAGTGAGTGGGTGGTTGAGTGGGTGAGTAAGTGAGTGGGTGGGTGAGTAGGTGAGTGAGTGGGAGGGTGAGTGGGTGAGTATGTGGTTGAGTGGTTGAGTGAGTGGGTGGTTGAGTGAGTGAGTGAGTGAGTAGGTGGTTGAGTGGGTGGTTGAGTGAGTGAGTGAGTGAGTAGGTGGTTGAGTGGGTGGTTGAGTGGGTGGTTGAGTGGGTGAGTGAGTGGGTGGTTGGGTGAGTGGTTGAGTATGTGAGTGAGTGGTTGAGTGGTTGAGTGAGTGGTTGAGTGGGTGGTTGAGTGAGTGGGTGAGTGGTTGAGTGAGTGGGTGAGTGGGTGAGTGGGTGAGTGGTGGGTGAGTGAGTTGGTGAGTGGGTGAGTTGGTGAGTGGTTGAGTGGGTGGTTGAGTGGGTGAGTGGGTGGGTGAGTGTGTGGTTGAGTGAGTGAGTAGTAGGTGGTTGAGTGGGTGAGTGAGTGAGTTGGTGAGTGGTTGAGTGGGTGAGTGAGTGGGTGGTTGAGTGGGTGGTTGAGTGGGTGGTTGAGTGGGTGGTTGAGTGGGTGGTTGAGTGGGTGGTTGAGTGGGTGATTAGGTGGTTGAGTGGTTGGGTGAGTGGTTGAGTGAGTGAAGGCACGATTATGTTGAGAAGTACTTGACGTTGGCGAGTGCCCTGACGCGTGCGGCGGCGAGGAGGGACTGGGCGGCGATCCTGTGGCTTGCGGGTGATCTCAGGTGGGAGCGTATCCTCAGCACGTCGAGGCGGACGACGGCGATGTGCAGCAGGTACAGGAGCGACAGCGACCAGAGGGCTAGCAACGTATTCATGAACGGTGCTCTAATTGTGAAGATAAATTTGTCGATGGTGATGAACAGCTGTTCGAAGTATTTGGAACTTAGCACTTTACTCAGCTGCGTGTATAAATCGCAACATCTCTTTCGCGTGCTTCTGTTGTTTAACGTGAATGCATTTCCGAATGCGAATCCGTACCTATATAATGTAGGTGACACGCCTCTGCAGTTGACTAGTGACGTGCATTCGCAATGCGGCCTCTTGCTCTTTTCATCCGTTGATCCGTGCTTGCCTCGTCGGCATTTGTCCCCTATGAGACAGCTGCTGCACCCCCAGTCCTGGCAGGAGATATCGTTGAATGCGTCGAGCAGCTTCTGAAGATACTCGAGGAGTTGCCATGGAAGGTATAGGCACCACGACAGGAAGAGGTTGGCGTTTTTCTCGGCCATGTATTCATAGGCGTCTGAAGATAGTGAACACATATATGGAGCGCACTGCTGGGTGGCACACGTAATCGTCATCGACAAACTTGCCAAGTCGGCGGATCCCTCTTGTGGGTGGAATGCGCCGTGGTCACTCTGGCTGCAGCCATAAGCGTTACCAACCGCACTGGTAACAACGTAAGGCCTATCACAAATATTAATGGACACTTTGGTTACGTGCGATTCTATTGCAGTTTTGAGTGTACGTTTGCCGTCACGCCAACCACGGGCGACAGATAGTGCGAAGCCGACGTGCTCAGGCAGGGAGGTTGGTGGCTTGGGACCAATGCAGAAGAGGAATGCTACTTTGCCGCTACCGAAAAATATTTCAATAATTTCACACAGGTCCCGACCCGTTTTGGTTGAGCCGGAAAAGCCTCTAAAACCTAACGGCATGAGGCAGGGCATTCCTCTGGATTTAGGAGAACACGTCAAGCATTCAGACTTGCAACCGACACTAATTAGTTGATGCGGCAGATGGCCTGGTAAACAGTCCTCTAAATAGCACATCAGCGGCGATGTTGCTTGGCCATTTGCTTGGCACGTTGCTTGACCATTTGCCTGGCACGTAGGTTGGCACTTTGCTTTGTTTGTTGATCCCTTGCTACACTGTGATTTGGTAGTAGGCACGTCTTTTCCGTACAGGCACCTCGCCCAGCCGCGATCTGATGGGCCTAGTTTGCATTGCACAAGAATGAATTTGAGCACGGGACACAACATGCGCAATACGTCCAGTAGCATAGACAAACATTCATTGCCGGAGCCAGGATATTTTAGATTGAGTGTATTGTTCGGGAAGTCAGAGGCGTAATGCGTCGAGGCGTCGCCGGTTCCAACTATGCCGGTCAGCAACATGTATGCGTGCGACGTAACATGTTCGATTGCATTGCTAATATCAGCGTTGTAAATAGCTTTCGGATAGGCTGGAATGGGCACCGGGATTGCTGTGTCAGGATCACGCTCTTCCCTCTTTTTCTCAAACAGTGAATCACAATGCTCATGGAGCTTTTCATAGACAGCGTTGAACGGCAACCCGGTCAGCCACAATAACATCTCGTACATACTACACGGGGTTCTGGGTTTGTCAATGTGAGTGGTGTGGCAAACATTAAAGTAAAATTGCATGTATGAGTTTAGATTCGGGATGACACCCTCATCTGTTGTAACCTCTACGGTCAGCCCAGCAGAGTCTGTGGGAAGGTCGGATGAGAGGTCAACGGGTTTGCTCGATGCAAACAACTTATGTGTTAAACTACTGAAAATATTAACGATACTGTTACCAGTGAAATTATCTCTATGATTCAATTCGCCGTATGGTGTAGTTGACTCGGAGCCAACATCGTAACCGTTTTCACGGAAGAAAAGAGCGTGGAGGGTAGAATTGGATGGCGTGAGCGAATACATTTTGTAGTTTTTCCATTTACTATTTTCTTTCTCGAGGTCCTCGACGAGCTCACTTAGACTGCACAATAAAATGGGCGTGATACTGAACATGATTTTAGCGTATTTTTCTTTCTCTGCCTGATCGATGGTTTGCCACTCGATCCTCCGGCTGTCATAGCTGGAGATGTAGACGTATCTTAATTCTTGGACAAAAGCGCCAACTCCCTTGCCAATAGCGTCTAGTAACGGTGTTGTGGGTTCAGCAAATGACTCCGGGTGCAGGCCGTTCAACGCCTCGGCCAGTTCGGCAAGCATCCCGGGCACCTTGTGATCATACCTGTTCAGGCCACCGATGTATCCAAGCACCCTGCTCAACTCGTTACTGACGGATTCTATTTTGGAGGTGTAAACGTTCTCAACGTACTTTCGTTCGGCCCATGATAGCTTGTCCTTTCTCCTCGCCGTCTCAGTCTCCAACCTCTGAATCTCTGTCCTGAGATATTCGCTTAGTGGGCCGATGAACGTCGCAAATGCGGAGGATAGAGGCTGCAGATCTTTTTGTTCTTTGACACCAACGAGCAAATTTATGTTTTTGCTCGTCTCACCTTCAAATGCCTTCATGAAGCCCTTGTACCCCTGCTTCAGGTCCTCCGCAAGCATGGCTGGCAGAAGCTTCAACTCGTTCTGGATCTTGGAGGAAAAGTGGCTAAGCGCTGTCTTGAGGGAGGAGACATAATGCTTTTTGGCCTGGGTGGTGAGTTGTTTTTTCTTCTCCTCCACCTGCGAGTCGACGTGCTGGTGGAGCTGTTCAATGGTCTCCTGAGATCGTCTCGTCGCAAAACTGAGGAGTTCATTAGTGTCTTCAATAACTTTTCCCAAGGTCTTATTTTGCAGGGTGTGAAGTTGGTCGTGGATTTTTTGAAGGCCTTCCCTATTGGGATTGCCTTTGGATATTTTGTTCTTAAGATCAGTCAGTTGCTCGTTGATTTTTTGGCCGGCCTCTGCCATCGCCTTCTTGAGCGCTTCAAGTTTGGATTGGATACCGGTGGAAAGAGATTCAAGGGCTTTTGTGGTCAGTGAGACGTCAAGTCCCTTGTCAGAATATCCGTTAATGGAAGTGATCGCATCGTTGAGGGGTTCGTAGGCGGTGTTGCGTTTCTGGCTGATGTCGTTGGATCCTAAGTTTACGTTGTTTGTAGATCCGGAAATATGTTCAACCTGCGTCTCTACTTGGCTGATTGCGGTGTCGACGGCTTGGGCGTGGTTGGTGCCACTGGTTCTGCCGCCGATTTTCCCAGTCGCCTGCTGAAGCTGGCTGTGGAGTGACTTGGCCTTTGTATGAGCTTCTTCTATTACCTTTGACATGGTGGTTTGCTCGCCGCCTATCTGTTTCTGCTCGTTAACTAAAGAGTGAAGCTCCATAGCTGCACCTCTGGCCGCACCAACGAGATGGTGGAGTATGAGTTGAACGGCGGATATGAGGTCTTTCTCGTAATTGTCACCGGTTTTAGTAATCCCCAACGATGTCAAATCACTCTTAATCGCGCCAATGATCTCACCAGCCTTCTTAGAAATTTGTGGATAGAGTGAATCCGCGAATCCTTTGCAAACAGCTTGCACTCCTTTCAAGTCAGTGTCAATATTTTCTCCGGGAGTACTACTGAACGTTTGAGCCGCCACTTCAATAACTTCGCTCTTAAGCTGTGATGGAATTTCCCTTTTGATAGCCAGCAGCAATTTATTAAGATTACCTCCGTTACCATGCCCAAGTTTCCTATGACTTACCAGATACCCTCGCAGCCCGCTTGCACCACCAACCTTATCCACAATCTCATTACTCCAGCTTTTGACAATATCCTCAAACTTCCCCTTTTTGAACCCCTCCGCATACACTTTAAAAACCTCTTTAAACCCCTCGAAACCCATAATAAATGAACCACCACTTTCCCCCTTAATTTGCGCAACCGTATTCCTAATATTTTCAAAAATCTTATCAATACTTGTCGGCGCTGTGCGGCTTTTATCAGGAAACTTCTCCCCTAGCTTTTTAATCGCCTCCGGAACTTTCTCCACTGCCTTGGTTATCGCCAACAATTTATTCTTATAAGCGTTATCTAGCTCCTTCAATTTCTCCGTAGCTGTAGACGCCAAACTTCCGAGACTACTCTTCACGCTAGTAATATATCCATCCAGTTTCTGCTTCCATTCGTTCACTTCCCTTGCTTTATTCCTGATGGCATCCTGATTTACTAAACCAACATGCTTGTCTTCAATCTTTTTTACATCCTTCATTGCACCGCCGACAATTCCATCCGCATTGTTAATCCAATTCTGAAGATCCTTTCCATAGCTTTCTAGATTGACATTAATATGCCTGAGATCCTTCAGCATCAATGTTATTAATCTTTTTATTTCCTCAACTAGCGTTCTCAATTTCCTGCCAATTTCATCTTTCACACTGCTTCCAAGGCTGTCAAGCTCACTAATAATCTTCCTCTCCATCTCTGCCAATTCCCTTTTCTCATTTTCTGACACCCCCTCAAGACGCTTACCTTCAAGCCAAACACTGTTTTTTGCCGTCTCAACTTTTTCTTTTGCTTCGTGATTTAAATCGTTCACGCTTCGAGAAACACGCGCAATTCCCTGCCGAAATGTTTGAGCATGTTGTTGACACTCCAACAACTTGGCATCTACTTGGCTCTTAAGCCTATCAATATCTTCAGCACTGTACTCCTTAGGCTCCGGGGGAGGGGCGTCCTTTTTTTTCTTATTTAATTCGGGAAATATTCCACTTACTGCTGTTTTAACTTGCTCCATCTGCGTATCTAATAATTCTATTTTTTGCTTGACATCCCTATTTGAACGCTCCACCTCCCTATTATACCCCCCGACACCCTGCGCCACCTGGCCAATGACTCTCTTAAAACCATTATGACCTGAACACAAATTACTACTAAGATGACTCAAAACATCATTCTGTAACGCTGTTTTACCAACACTGTAAGGCTGTTTCTCATAGACATCTTTAAGAACTCCATGAAGGAAAGACATCACCCCGTCGCAGAGCCTGTCAAGGTCCGAGTACACGATGCCGGTGCCATCGTAGCCTTTGGAAGTTTCTTGGTAACCAAGGAACTTCTCCAAGCCAGTGCACAGGTTATTAAGTAAATCATGGGAATTATTAAGGACATTTTGAGGGCGATTTGGGGGAGTTTGGAGAAAGGCGATTTTAGGTGACGGAGGCAGTGAGGGAGGTGGGTGGACAGGGTGAGGGAGGTTAAGGGGCGAGAGAGGGGGATGGAGGAGGATGATGGGTTGAGAGAGGCGGTTTTGAGGGTGGAGGGAAAATGTGGAAAATGAGGATTTGGGTGGAGGACGCCGACGGAGGAGGTGATGGAAGGAGGAGGGAGGGAGCGAAGCGACCAGTGAAGGAGGGAGGTGAGCGGGTGAGTAGTTGAGTGGGTGAGTGGGTGAGTGGGTGGGTGAGTGGTTGAGTGGGTGGGTGAGTGGGTGAGTGAGTGAGTGGGTGAGTGAGTGATTGAGTGAGTAGATGGGTGAGTGGGTGGGTGATACACAGATCACACGTGAAGGCACGATTATGGTGAGAAGTACTTGACGTTGGCGAGTGCCTTGACGCGTGCGGCGGCGAGGAGGGACTGCGCGGCGATGCGGTGGCTTGAGGGCGATCTCAGGTGGGAGCGTATCCTCAGGACGTCGAGGCGGACGACGGCGATGTGCAGCAGGTACAGGAGCGAGAGCGACCAGAGGGCTAACAAGAGGAAAGTGAAGAAGTTGAGAAATGTTGAAGGATTATTTTAGGCACATTTTTAGGGCGATTTGGGGGATTTTGGAGAAAGGCGATTTTAGGTCAAGGAGGCAGCGAGGGAGCGAGGGAGGTGGGTGGACAAGGCGGGGGAAGTGAAGGGGCGAAAGAGGGCGATGGAGGAGGAGGATGGGTGGAGGTAAGGCGATTTCGGAGGTGGAGGGATAAAGTGGAAATTAAGATTTTGGGTGAAGGACGCCGACGGAGGAGGTGATTGAGGGGGTGAGGAAGGAGGGAGCGAAGCGACCAGTGAAGAAGGGAGGTGAGTGGTGAGTGAGTGGTTGAGTGAGTATGTGAGTGGTTGAGTGAGTGAGTGGTTGAGTGATTAGGTGAGTGGGTGAGTGGGTGGTTGAGTGAGTATGTGAGTGGTTGAGTGAGTGAGTGGTTGAGTGATTAGGTGAGTGGGTGAGTGGGTGGTTGAGTGAGTATGTGAGTGGGTGGGTGAGTGAGTGGTTGAGTGAGTGAGTATGTGGTTGAGTGGGTGAGTGAGTGGGTGGGTGAGTGGGTGGTTGAGTGGTTGAGTGGTTGAGTGGTTGAGTAGGTGAGTGGTTGAGTGAGTGGGTGGTTGAGTGGGTGAGTGGGTGAGTGAGTGGGTGAGTGGTTGAGTGGGTGGGTGAGTGGTTGAGTGGGTGGTTGAGTGGATGAGTGAGTGAGTGGTTGAGTGGTTGAGTGGGTGGTTGAGTGGGTGGGTGAGTGGGTGGGTGGTTGAGTGGTTGAGTGGGTGGTTGAGTGGGTGGGTGAGTGGGTGAGTGGGTGAGTGGGTGAGTGAGTGGGTGAGTAGTTGAGTGGGTGGGTGGGTGGTTGAGTGGTTGAGTGGGTGAGTGGGTGGGTGAGTGGTTGAGTGGGTGAGTGGTTGAGTGGGTGGGTGGTTGAGTGATTAGGTGAGTGAGTGAGTGGGTGGGTGAGTGGGTGGGTGAGTGGGTGAGTAGTTGAGTGGGTGGGTGGGTGGTTGAGTGAGTATGTGAGTGGTTGAGTGAGTGGGTGAGTGGTTGAGTGGGTGAGTGGGTGAGTGAGTGGGTGAGTGGTTGAGTGGGTGGGTGAGTGGTTGAGTGGGTGGTTGAGTGGATGAGTGAGTGAGTGGTTGAGTGGTTGAGTGGGTGGTTGAGTTGTTGAGTGAGTGAGTTGTTGAGTGAGTGGTTGAGTGGGTGGGTGGGTGAGTGGGTGGTTGAGTGATACACAGATCACACGTGAAGGCACGATTACGGTGAGAAGTACTTGACGTTGGCGAGTGCCTTGACGCGTGCGGCGGCGAGGAGCGACTGTGCGGCGATGCGGTGGCTTGCGGGTGAGCGCAGGTGGGAGCGTATCCTCAGCACGTCGAGGCGGACGACGGCGATGTGCAGCAGGTACAGGAGCGACAGCGACCAGAGGGCTACTAATGTCCAAATAAAATTCTCTCTGACGGTGAAGATGAGTTCGTCGATTGCCGACAGGAAATTACCTAGCAGCTTGGAACTCAATATGCGATCTATTGTGTCGCAGAAATATTTACATTTCTTTCTGGTGCCGGCGGGGGCATTTGCATACGTGAGCCCATATTGATAAAACACCGACGAGACTCCTTTGCAGTTTACCATGGACATACATCCACATTCTGCGGAACCATGCTTGCCCTGTTGGCATTGATTAGTGTTCACACAAGGTAGGCAACCAGCATCGGCACATGAAATGCTGCAGAACGCGTCCTTCAACTGCTCAAGGAATTTTACAAGTGACCAACCACTGTAGAGGAGGCATGAGAAATATTTGCTGGCATGTCTCGGTGCAAAAATGGAGTACGCAGAATGGCTAAGAGGCTGCATGAAGGTACCACAATCTTGCTTTCCGCAACCAACAAGGTATTTCAGATCAGGGTTATTGAGATTGTGGTCGGCATGGGAGTTGGATTGATACAACAGACCGCAAGGGTCAAGTAGTTTATTGGCATCATCGGTGCTACACGCAATGGTACCGTCAATAGAGTCGGATATGGCGCCTTTTATAGTTTTGTTATCAACTTTGCTCTGTGCGTTAGGCGCATTATCCCACTTACTTATGAGCATGGAATAAAAGGCAAATATATCAGGGAACAACTGCGGCGGACGAACAGTAACGCACGTTAACATTGATAAAAGTCCGGTGAGAACGCCATAGTTTCCGCATATATCGTCAAGCAACAGGCATAGTTCTCTACCTGTACGCATACTGCCCGAAAAGTATCTGAAGCCGAGAGGCGTCAGACAGGGCATTCCCTTGGCATTGGGAGAACATGTGGTACACTTGAAAGTGCAACCCACTGACTGTAGTTGGTGTGGTAAATGACCGGGAAGACAGTCGTTAAGGTAACTCATTAGTGGAGACTTAGGTTGGCACGTTGGTTGACCATTTGGTTCATCTTTTGGTTTGCAATTTGCCTGGGATGTTGCCTGGCCATTTGGTTTTGTGTTTGCGTGGTCCCTACATTGCCAACTCGACGGGTCGACGCCATTGCCGTAGAGGCAGTCACGCCAACCGTAATCTTTCCCGGCGTACGTACATTGTATATGTAAGAATTTAAACACTGGGAACAATCTACGGAGAATGTCATAAAGCGTATCAAAGCACGCGCCAGGATTTGATGGATACGACAGACTGAGGGAGTTGTTAGTAAAATCACAACCATAAGTGATCTGGGCATTACCAGTGCCGCGTATGATGCGGAGCATATTCTGAGACTGGGCTGCCATGTTCTTAAGTGCATCATGTACATGTCTATATGTAAAGCTGAAAGGATGGGCATTTACGGGCTGCACCGTTTTAACATTCGGGTCACTCCTATCTGGTACCTCAAACAAAGACGTAATGTGACTTTTAAGTTTCGGGTATATATGGTTGTGAGGAAGACCGGAGAGCCAACATAACATCTCATTGACTGAACATGGATGTTTTTTGGCGAAGGAAGTGGAGAGATGACAAGTTTGGAAGTATTCATTACGGTGAGTGGTAAGACAGGCAAGTAGGTCCATGACATTAAAATGTGTTTTCGGTGCAACTACTTTGTGTTTTTCTTCTGATTTATTCTTCGCATCGTCTTTACACGTTTTAAGATGTTCATTTTCGTTCGCACCGTCGACGTTCCTGATAAGTAAATCAATAATATGCTGACCGTTGCACTCTTTCTTATTCCGTAGCTGTCCGTCCTGCTTTCCGTACTCGGATACAATATAGCCGTGACCGGCTAATAATTTCCCTACGTTACTAGACTGGTTAATTTGCTCTCCTTTCAAAGTGCGACAATCGTGTTTTAGTGTACTCAACGAGTTGCTTACGGTGTACAGCAACGTGAGCAACACCTTAGCGCACTTGTCCTTATCGGTGTCTGCCTGCTCACTCCACTTCAGTCCGCTGTACCTGTTCACGTACTGTTTGCCCAGTTCCTCCGCCAGTCGCTTCGCTCCCGCGGCTAGCGCGTCGAGCAGCTCAGGGTGCTGGTGGCCGTTGAACTGCTTGGGGGTTAATGCGGCAAGCGCATCGTTAAGTGCGGCTAGGTCAGAAGTGAACGTGTGGTCGAAGTGGGAGATTTTTGTGGAGCTTTCTAATTTTAGGTTAGTGAGTAAAGTGTCCAGTTGGGATTTGAGGCGGTCGACTTGGGGGGAGTGGGACTGGGAGGAGGTGTAGAGAAGGATTTTATTCAAGTAATCTCTTACATTTTCTGTTACGTCTTTAAATTCACGTATAACAGGAATCTGATAAATCTTCTGATGCTGCGTCTCCATGAGATTCATTAATCCCTTTACGCCGGTCATGCTGTCCAGGGTGATAATGTTTTGGATTATTGCTTTTTGTTCGTTGGCTAATTTGTGAAGAGCCTCTAAGTCCGCCAGGTGTTGCCTGCAGAATAGTTTTCTGACTTCCGTAGTTACTGTATTTTGCGCTGTTTTCACAGCGTCGTGGAGACTGTCTATTGCTTGTTTCAGAGTATCATGTGCGATTCTAACGTCCTGATTGATGGCCTTGAACTTTTCTTGCATTTCCGCTTTCAAGTTGTCCATTTTTGCTTCTACGTCATTTTTCATTTTCTCAACGCTTACGTCGTTATCAGCCTTCCCGTTTTGGAGTTTTGCAACCTCATCGATGATTTCTTGAATCGTTCCAACGGCGTCGGGAATTTTACTCCCCACCCCTTCCAACAATGTGTCCAGCGCCGTAATTTGCCGACTAACGACACCCAACGCCTTGGTGATTTTATCGCCACGATTGGAATCTCCCTGGCCATTAAGCATATCGGGAAGTGATGTGGCTTGGGTCATGATATTTGCGAGATGTTCAATCTTGGATTCTTCGGTGAATCTCTTAATTTCTGCAGCGACATGCTTCGCCATATCGGATACCCGTCGGAGAATGATTTGAAGAACCTTGCTTAGATGGTCCTTTTTGTAGGAAGACGACGGATGTGCCAGCGTGGGATCGATAGTCGTAATTATCTTAGAAACTTCAGCCGATGTCAATTTTTTCTCAAGTTCATCAGCAACGCTCTCAAGAAATTTTCTAATGTATCCCAAATTACCATCCACGCTTCCATTGCCATCCGGTCTTTTACCACTAACTTTAGAAACGATGTCTTTAATCTGACCAATGATGCCTTCGTGCACCTTTGTAATATCCTCCGAGTTGGCGCTGGACATTGAAGTTATATACCTTCTCGTCGGTTCCTTTTCCATAATTCCTTGGATCCAATCTTTCAAAACTGTGGTCTCAAAAGTCCCTCCCTTCCCAAACCCCTTGGCGTACTTCAGTATGCCCTCCTTAATCTGCTTCAAGCCTTGGCTCCCATCGTCAGTACCGACAATTTTGCCATTAACAAATGTCTGAACCTCCACTTTCAGCTTATCCCAATTGAACGCTACGCTTTTTATATTCTCTCCGTCTCGCCCGCCAGCCTTTCCAACCTTCACCTTAATCGTACCAAACGCTGCCTGAGCACTGCTGACCAATCCCGAAAGTTCCATTTTTTTGCCCATTAGATGATGATACAGATCATTCATCTGATGTTGTATGCCCTTAAACTTCAGCATAATATGCTGTTTGTATTTATTATTGAAATTGATACCCTCTTCACCAAGTAATTCTTGTTCCGCTACTTCCAATGTCTTCCTCATACCTTTAAAATGCGTGTACTTCTCGTGCTTCAGATTTAAGATTCTCTCTATTACCTTAGAAAACGTTTCACGCAACTCCTCGTCCACCTTGCTCACTTGGTCCTTAAACCCCTTATCAACCGCCACACTCTGCAGGTGCTCGACAACCTTAGTTACCGGCTTCATTTCTACGTCTATTCTACCTTTAAGTGCACTATCTAAGTCATTAGCTTTTGTTTGTATATCGTCATTAAGTGCGCTAGAAATTTTACTAAGTGTCCCCGTCCACGCCGCCAGTTGGCTGGCAAGTGGCTTGGTGGCTTCATTCTCCACTTCCTTGTAATACTCATTTCCGTCACCTGCATCAGATGATAATTTATTACTTAACTCACCTAATTTAGTCTTCACTTCTCCCGTTGCCTTGTCCACCTGCTCACCATGTTTTTTCAACCACTCACTTACCTCAGTCACGGCGTCCCCGAAGGCCTCACGGCCTTTACCTACAGAAGTGTTAAGAGTGTTAATAACTGAAGTAATATTACTTGAAGCATCTTGAACATCATATTTCTTCACACTTTCATCCTCCTTAATACTCTCAAGAACACCATGAAGGAAAGCCATCACCCCGTCGCACAGCCTGTCAAGGTCGGAGTACACGATGCCGGTGCCCGAGTAGCCTTTGGACTCAGAGTTGAAACCGAGGAAGCTCTGTAAACCTTCAACTAATTTATCTAGAATATCTTTGGGGTTTTTAGAATTTTTGTCATTTTCAAGCTCCTTAGAATACTTTTCAAGCTTCTGTAGAGTCTCAAGAGACGTTAACTGGGATGACAACTTTGCTAGCTTTTCAAGTTTAGAGGGATCAACAGGAGTGTCATCTTTTTTGGCAAGCTTATCATTTTTAAGGGCTTCAATTTCTCTTTCAAGCGTAGATTTTCCATCTGAAATTTGAGTCATTTTTTTCTTAAGCTCCTCACTGTTTACAGAGTCATGAGGCTTGGAATCCGGAGACTTGGAACCATTTTTAAGTTCAGGAAATTGCTTTAAAATACTCTTAATACCACTTCTAATAGCCTCAGTAACTTCCTCTCCACCGCCAATAAATCCACCAAGCTGTCCAGCAAGTTGACCAAGAGCGATGCGCCGCTCAGCAAGATCCTTCTCAGCACTCTTTCTTTTAGACTCAGAGCCATGTACTTCGGAGTAATGGTCAATGTAGTGGGATTGAAGGTGGGTTAAGGGAGAGTTAAGAGGAGTAAAGGGAGGTGAAATGGCACATTTTCAGGGCGATTTGGGGGAATCTGGAGAAAGACGATTTTAGGTAAAGGAGGCGGTGAGGGAGGTGGGTGGACAGGGCGAGGGAAGTGGAGGGGCGAAAGAGGGCGACGGAGGAGGAAGATGGGTTGAGGTGAGGCGGTTTAGGAGGTGGAGGGGAAAGGTGGAAAATGAGGATTTGGGTGAAGGCGCCGACGGAGGAGGTGATGGAGGGGGGTGAAGGCAGGGAGCGAAGCGACCAGTGAAGGAGGGAGGTGAGTGGGTGGTTGGGTGGTTGAGTGGTTGAGTGGGTGGTTGAGTGAGTGAGTGGTTGAGTGGGTGGTTGAGTGGGTGAGTGGGTGGGTGAGTGGGTGAGTGAGTGGGTGGTTGAGTGAGTGGTTGAGTGGTTGAGTGAGTGGTTGAGTGGGTGAGTGGGTGGTTGAGTGGGTGAGTGGTTGAGTGGGTGGTTGAGTGAGTGGGTGAGTTGGTAGGTGAGTGGTTGAGTGGGTGAGTATGTGAGTGAGTGGGTGGTTGAGTGGTTGAGTGGGTGGTTGAGTGGGTGGTTGAGTGAGTGGTTGAGTGGTTGAGTGGTTGAGTGGTTGAGTTGGTGGGTGGTTGAGTGAGTGAGTGGTTGAGTGGTTGAGTGAGTGGTTGAGTGAGTGAGTGGGTGGTTGAGTGGGTGGTTGAGTGGTTGAGTGAGTGAGTGGTTGAGTGGTTGAGTGAGTGGTTGAGTGAGTGAGTGGGTGGTTGAGTGGTTGAGTGGTTGAGTGGTTGAGTGGGTGGTTAGGTGAGTGATTAGGTGGGTGGGTGAGTGGGTGAGTGGGTGATTAGGTGAGTGAGTGGGTGGTTGGGTGGTTGAGTGGGTGGTTGAGTGAGTGGGTGAGTGGGTGGTTGGGTGGTTGAGTGGGTGGTTGAGTGAGTGGGTGAGTGAGTGGGTGAGTGGGTGGTTGAGTGAGTGGGTGAGTGGGTGGGTGAGTGGGTGAGTGGGTGGGTGAGTGAGTGAGTAGGTGGGTGAGTGGTTGAGTGAGTGAGTGAGTAGTGATGGCACGATTATGGTGAGAAGTACTTGACGTTGGCGAGTGCCTTGACGCGTGCGGCGGCGAGGAGCGACTGCGCGGCGATGCGGTGGCTTGAGGGCGAGCGCAGGTGGGAGCGTATCCTCAGGACGTCGAGGCGGACGACGGCGATGTGCAGCAGGTACAGGAGCGACAGCGACCAGAGGGCTAGCAAGAGGAATGTGACGATGTTGAGCAATGTTGAAGAATTATTTTAGGCACATTTTTAGAGCGATTTGGGGGATTTTGGGAAAAGGCGATTTTAGGTCAGGGAGGCAGTGAGGGAGTGAGGGAGGTGGGTGGACAGGGTGAGGGAAGGGAAGGGGCGAAAGAGGGCGATGAAGGCGGAAGGTGGGTTGAGGTAAGGCGGTTTTGGAGGTGGAGGGAGAAAGTGGAAAATGAGGATTTCGGGCGAAGGACGCCGACGGAGGAGGTGATGGAGGGGGTGAGGGAGGAGGGAGCGAAGCGACCAGTGAAAGAGGGAGGTGGGTGAGTGGTTGAGTGGGTGGGTGGGTGGTTGAGTGGGTGAGTGGGTGAGTGAGAGAGTGGTTGAGTGGTTGAGTGAGTGATGCACAGATAACACGTGAAGGCACGATTAAGGTGAGAAGTACTTGACGTTGGCGAGTGCCCTGACGCGTGCGGCGGCGAGGAGGGACTGCGCGGCGATGCGGTGGCTTGAGGGTGATCTCAGGTGTGAGCGTATCCTCAGCACGTCGAGGCGGACGACGGCGATGTGCAGCAGGTACAGGAGCGAGAGCGACCAGAGGGCTAATAAGAGGTAGGAGAAGGGTGTACGTATTGCCCAGAAGAGTTTATCAATTAGTTTCTTGAGTTCGTTGAAGTGTTCTGAGTTCATGACGTTTTCTAATTGCGTATGGAAATCACGACATGATCTGCTGTCCGGATTCTTTAGCAGACGTTTTGCGTTCCCCAATGTACATCCATACCTGTAAAAAGTGCTGATAACGCCGCTACAGTGTACAAAGCTTTTACAACTGCAGTTGTTATTTATACCATGCATACCTGCCGGACATTTACACGTTGTACATCCGCAAGCTTTGCAATCGATATTGCAGTAGGCGTCGAACAGTGATTTGAATAGATTATATAAATCGAAAGTCAGATAAAGTGCCCAGGACAAATACAGCCCGGCGTGTTTCTTGGGATATGTGTGATAGGCATCAAAACAGAGCGGTTGGAGGTAAGGGGAACAGTGTTGATTGTTAGCGCACTCAGATGATGGCGACATCAAACTTGAAATGTCGCAGTGCTTCTTGCGCGACGTCGATGCTAGGTGATCTTTGTCGTATACGTCTCGGAGTGCTTTTGTCAGCAGCCTTGCATTCTCGCCATTCTCTTTATAGAGGTATATTGTTGTTGACGGGATTGCAACGGAGTTCATGTGGCTAACGAAATCACTATTGTAAGAATAAACATTTTTAAATCTTGTATCATTCCACGTAAGCGTTAACCTGCAGAAAAAGGAAAGAATTTCTGGAAGCGTCGACGGCACGCGTTGTAACAATATTTGCAGCGACCTCACTAGCAACGGTAAAGGCGAATCTGCATTATGACATATGCTTTGAAGCAATTTGTATATTTCGTACCCTCGGCCGGACTTCGATGCCGCAGTAGTCAAATCCCAGAAGCCCATTGGTGTAATACATGGTTGGCCTGGAGAGGCATTTTTACAGGTGGAACATACAGATTTACAGCCGACAGATGTTAACATATGTGGTAGGAAACCGGTAAGGCAGTCGCTTAGGTAGGACTGAAGCGGGGACGTTGGTTGGCAATTTACTTCACTATTTGGTTGACCATTTGGTTGCTCATTTGCTTTGCCCCTTGGGTGGTCCTTACATTGCCAGTTTGCCGATGCGATAGTTCTGCCATATTGGCAGTCGGCCCACCCGTTACCCTGGGATGTGGTGAATTTGCATTGGGATGACAAAAAGTAAAGCGAGCATAACAAACGCCTGCATATATCTGCTAGTGTATCAAATAGGCTGGGGATATCGGACGGATAATTGAAGCCTCGAGAGTTGTCAAAGAATTTACAGGCGTAAGGATAGTCGGCATTCGGAGCGCCGTGTCCGTGGCCTTGAATGCCAGTGAGCAAGGAATTCGATTTGTAGCACACAAGGCGGAGTGCGTTTGGAATGCTGGAAATGCAATACTTAAGGCCACCATCTTCTTCTGCCTTATACGCAGCCTCACAATGGTCTTGTATTTTTTCGTAAACAGACCGGTAGGGCAAGCCACCCAGCCATGCCAGCATATCTCTGACGCTACAGGGATATCGCTGTTTAGGTGGAATAATTAGATGGCAAACGCGCATATAACATTTAAATATATCATGAATGCCAGGCAGCGCAGTCAATATACTGTTATCTTTAAGCTTATTGGAAACGTTTGCACCTGTGAAATCATTCTTATTATTCAGCCACCCGTTCTGTGAGTCCTCATCGGAAGCTACAGAATAACCACACGAGTCGAGGTATATACCTAGCTCACTGTTTAGATTGATACCGTCACTCTTGCATTTATCATCACATTGCAATCTAATATTGTTCAAATATGCATACAACATGGAAATAATACTAAGTAAAACATTTGCGCAACTCATTGCGTCATCAGTGAATTTACTTCCGGATTTGGGAGTAGGATACCTCTCCCAAATGATTGTATGTTCGGAGTAAGCGCTCACATAACCGTACTCCAACTGCTTAACAAAGCCGCCCACGCCATCATTAATTAGGTCAAGCAATTTGTTATTGTTACCGTCGAACTTATCAGGTACTAAATTACCAAGTGATTGTTTAAGTGCCGCTAGGTGACCACTGGATGTCTTATTGAAATGAGTAAGTGGTTGGAGTAATGTGATGATATCGTCGCGAATTTTGGCAACTTGGTCAGACTGTTCGTTAGGCTCTAGGGTAGGGCTTTGGCCAGCCTTTTGGTTAGCACGTTGGGTCTTGACTTGCTCTTCAATATAGTTTAATAAAACTTGTAAAAACAATTTAGCCTTGCTGGCCAACCCATCTAATTTCGTATCATCTTCCAGCGTTGTAATCTGTAAGGTCTCATCAAATCCTTCATTTAATCGCGTTAGCAACCCTTTTAATCCATTTATGGAGTCAAGTCGAATGATCTCATTAATCTCCCTCAACTGCGCCGTGACGACGGTATGCAGCTGCGTGAGCTCGGCCTGCTTCTGCTTCGCGAAGAGGGAGTGGACTTGGGCGGTGAGGGTGGAGAAGGCAGAGGAGACTGTACGGGTTACTGTTGATTCAAGAGCTTTAACAGCTTGAGTAGCCTGCTGATGCGCGGTTGTTAAAGCGACACCGACGGAAGAAATGTATTCACTTAATTGCTGGTTGGCCGTAATTACTACCCGTTCAATATTTATAACATCGCTCTGCAGCGTTTGAAATTCTTGCTTCAATTTCTCCATCTTTCTCGCCGATTCTCCTTTAGCATTATCTATTGCTGTTGGCAAATTCTCAAGATCGTTGATTGATTCCGACAGTTTCTGCATTACCCGGTAGTAAGTGGTCTTTGTGCCGTCGCCGCTACCGGATCGTTGAGTATTGTAGCCGTCAAGAGTAGCGAGATCTATTTCTGTATGGTCTCCAGAATTCTTAAAGCCATTACCAAATTTTGTAGCAATCCCCTTAATCAAACCTCTCAGCACACCATCGCCTCCATTTCCATTTTTGGTCTGCTCATTGTATTCGTTCATGAAAACAGGATCAAATGGCTTATTTACACGATCAGTTTTGCCATTTATGTCATCCTCTCCAACAACGTCTTTGAGCACTTTGTCGACGGCGTGGGACACCGCCCTTTTGAGGGAGGTTTGCAGCTCTTCGAAGGTTGGCTTATCAATGGATCCACCATGAGGCAGCTTGCCATTCTGAGCTTCGTCAAGACGCTTTAGAAGATTTTCTAGAGTACCTGCAAAAATGGAATTGTTACTTTTGGTTTGACCAGCTGAGAGTTGAGAAAGTTTGTCAGGCAGAGTTCCAAACACGTTTTTAAGCTTATCTTCATTTAGAGATTCCCCAAGCGTCTTTACACCTGCATATTCAAAAGTGGAACCACTTTTAATCTGAGTCCAAGGGTCTTTCGCCTCCCCCGCCGACTTCATAATACCGCTCCACACCCGCTCACCAAGCGTTTCTAATTGGCCTTTAATACTCTCCCTAAGCGTACGCAAATCTTTTTTCACTGAGTCGTCTAAGGCCGTTAGCGCCGCCAACACACTACCAGGCTCATTATCAGTTAGACCAACCGCCTTATCAACTTTCTTTTTGACATCCACCAATTTTTCCTGATACAACTTCTCCAATTTCTCAACAGCTCTCTCAATGGCGTCAACCTCCCTCTCAAGTTGGCATTTACTGTTTTCATCTATGCCTGCACCGGGCTTGCTCGCTTTAAGAGCTGCAGCTTTTTGTTGCAGGCCGTCGAATTTTGAAGTAATAACATCTATATAATGTGCCTTAAAGTTCTGGCTGGAGTCACCAAGCAACTCAGCAACATCTTCTTTAGCGTCCTGTGCAGCCTGCTTGATGGCCTTTATGTGTTTTTGTTTTTCATTTATCAGGTTCTCAAGACTTTGTTCTATTGCTTTGCGCCCGTTTTCCAACCGTTCGTGCACCCTTCTAGATTCTGTCTCAACAGCTTTATTAATCTTCTCCTTCTGCTGCAACAATGCCTTGTCGACATTGTCAGCCCATTGCTTCACCTGCCTGTCGTCGCAGGATGATTGGAACGTTTCTACGGCCTGCGTCACCAACTCTACGGAAAGCGTTAATTTATTACTAAGAATGTCATCTAACTGTGAATTCGCAAGATCAACACCTAAGGCCGCATTACTGCACTCAGTCGCCTTTGGCACCAATACATTATTCAACTGATCACTAAGTGACATAGTATGCATATTATTAAATTCATTATTTAGTTCGCTAATTGTGGCTATGAGTGAAGTTAATTGTGATGTAACTCCATCCGTTTTTGTAGATAAAACACTCTCATACCCCCTCAGCCCACGCTGCACAATCCCAATGGCCTCGCGAAATCCAACAACACCAGAGCCCTTACCTATTTTACCTTCTAACTCACTAATTGCCCTTGTAATATCAGGAAAATAATGATGTAAAAGTGTTTTAGCGCCCTCAAGACATTGGAGGAGAAACGCCATCACCCCGTCGCACAGCCTGTCAAGGTCCGAGTACACGATGCCGGAGCCGTCGTAGCCTTTGGAAGTTTCTTGGTATCCAAGGAACTTCTCCAAGCCAGAGCATAGGTTATTAAGTAAATTATGGGAATTATTAGGCACATTTTAGGGCGATTTGGGGGAATTTGGGGAAAGGCGATTTTAGGTCAAGGAGGCAGCGAGGGAGGTGGGTGGACAGGGTGAGGGAAGTGGAGGGGCCAGAGAGGGCGATGAGGGAGGAAGATGGGTTGAGAGAGGCGATTTTGGGGGTGGAGGGAGAAAGTGGAAAAAGAGGATTTGGGTGAAGGACGCCGACGGAGGAGGTGGGTGAAGGAGGGGGTGATGGAGGAGG